GATCTCGACTATACGATGCTGAGGCAGATATGTCGGAGCAGTCGTTTGACCGGCAAAATCAAGGATGCATCGGCCATGAATAGTCCGCTGGCGAAGGCTTTCACATATCTCCTACCGGATGGCACCACTGCTGCAGTATCAGATGATGAGACGGACTTGTACTTGAAGTTGCTCAAGCAGACCCAGTAATGGGTGACTTGCTTGTAACAGTCACATTACTCTCGGAGTCTCGGATGGGAGCCTAAGGTCCGAATATGGACGGAAAGTCACCTATCGGGTCATATGGCATGCTTCGCTTTGTAAAACTGAGCGTCCGAGGGTTTTTCATATTATAAATGCAGACTGCGTGACCCATTGTCACGACCATGATGCAATCGTGACAGATTTACTTCCTGACCCACTGATGGTCGCCGTGAAAGGACATAGTGTCCTTTTTCCTGCCGTCCGGAAAAAGGACACCTGCTTTGCCCGCCGTGACTGGTTATTACGTTGTAGCTGTCCTTCGCGCATTGTATTTATGCGGAGAAAGAAAACATCGAAAACTCCTTACCTTTGGTTTAAGGATGTGTCCCTGGCCTTCCATATGTTCCACTTACCTTGGTGGACCATCACCGTGGTGAACCTGCTGGATGCAAGGAGGGAGAATGGCTAGGCCATGACGCTTTTCATTGCTACGGAACTCACGACGATGTTATCTATGACACTATGTTCTCTCTCCGGATCACCACTGGCAGCTTTGATAGCTACCTCCTGATTCAGCTTGTTATACTAGGCAACCAATAGGTTAGGGTATGACTTGCTAGACATTGATCCGGATGTACGCACTTTCTTAACGCTCGCCCAATCGACCAAACTGCTCAGGTGAGCCAGTGGTACCATCTGGCCGGACACAACAGCCTCCATCTTCTCCTGGACACCTTGAAGCTCAGGAGAGTCGATTCTGATCACTAGCAAGGACGTGCAGGCGTCCGAGACGCCGTATCGTCTGATTGCTTCAGAGATCTATGAAAACCTGATTCTCAGCCTCGACCTCGAGGGGAACTAGTGCAAGAAGCGGACATTATTGCTGGGGTTTAGCGCCCAGAGGATCTCTGAATGTACGGTCTTCGTACGCAGGGCGCCCAGCGCCTCCGCTAGGATAGCTTGGTACACCGCCGTCTTGATGTGCAGCTCACTCGTGATCTTCGTTTCGCAGCATAGAAGAGAGTAGTAGTATGCCAGGGATGACAAGGCCAATGAAGTAAGGCTTCAGCTACGGCATGCGCGCAAGAAAAAGTCGAGTGGGACGCTGACAAGACGTGCATCTACGAACGCAAAGTTGACCGCCTCCCGCTCGCGGTCACCTTCGATACCCTCCAGGGTTGCGGCGTTGATGATGCGGGATCGAAGGGCCCCTGCATTGGTTACGGACGTGAATAGCGCGATGTATGCTCGAGAGAGGTGAGGGGGGAAATGGGGGTAGTGGATGGTCTCCATACTGTCCGAATGGTTGAGAGGAAGGTGATATAGGGGCTATTTATCACGGCTCTAATCTTCGGCAGCGCTGCAGCTTACTATGACTTAGCCTACGTATACCTTACTGGTTGATACCGCGCTGCGTAAATACAATGGAGGGCGAGGTATAGGACTGTATCACGAGAGAGAAGACTGCATCCCACCTCGACGGGATTCTCAAGAAGGATTGTAACATATCCAGGCCATAGCTATGACCCATTACGAAACTATTTGTAGCTGCATCTTTGAATTCCGGCAAGCCCGAGGTCCAACGATGCAATTGAATGAGAAGCCCAATGGTAGATAGGCCGGTTTACAGTTGACATGCGACATGCGATGACAGAATAGATGATGTGTTTGCAGAGAGATCCAAAGGCGAACTATCCCATTCCCATGAAGAAACTCGACGAGCCCCGACTTACTCGCAATACCTGTATGTCCGAATGAGCGAGGGCCATTGGACGTCAGGACCTATAGGCGACTCACCGTCTCTCGCCAAAGTCACCGAGCCCTGGGATGATGTAGGCCTTCTCGTTGAGGCCCTTATCGATCCAGCCAGTAATCTAATGGGACATGAAAGCTCAGACTATTTGACAAGAGCTATCGAATTGACCTTACCACTCTGGTTTGCGGGAATTTCGAGCAGAAGTTTCTGAGACCTTCGGGTGCCGAGATCTGTTTGCTCATGCGCAGTGCTCAGCGACAGACGGATAGCAGTACATCGTCTTATGATCACGGACCAAGTTGATGAATATGATTCTCTCTTCGGGGACACCGTGTTCTTTCAGCACTTCAACGGCCTTGATCGCAGATCCTCCGGTGGCTGCGGGCATCATCTGAGACCAAATTCCCACCTTCATTAAGATAATGAAAGCGCACCGAGCATTGGATCGAGCAGCAGGACATAGCGCGATGCGATGTCTTGGGGGAACTGCGCCGCGCAACATCACGCGTCAATTACTCTGTTTGAACAGCGGGATCAGGTATTCAGGCGACCTTTGAATAAAACAGTTTTGGTTGTGTTGTCTCCTCGTCCTGAAGTAGACAGAACGAATGAATCGCTGCTCACTGGGACGAGGTCGGAGACAATAGTACTGACCCTTTGAATCAAGATCTTGCCGATGCGGACACTGCGGCAGACTTCTCGTAAGCCCGCCTCCATCGCCTGGCCGGGAAGATGTCAAGGAGCTGCCTCCAAACAAGTGGTCGCGTGCGCTTACCTCGCCGGCTCGCAAGATCGACACACCGCATATCTTCCCCTCAAACCCAACGCCCTCGTACGTCGCACCCTTGCAGAAAGCGACTCAGCAAAACAGGACACACGAGGGGCTTGCTTAAAATAAAACTACACACGGTAGGGGTTTGCACGGTCTTCGGGATGACCGGCAGGTGGTTCAGGCCCTCCTCCACCAGCAGCCGGATGATGCGATCTGAGTAGAACAGAAACTCGCCCCGCGGCGTGTCCTTGTCGCGTATGATCGTGAACAGAGCCTCCAGCTGGGCGGTCTGGGGCAGGGTGAACACAGAAGGGGGCAGCGAAGCCGGACATGTCTGGGATGTTGGTGCGACGATGGCGGCCATTTCACGAGTTCTGCTTATGTCTGACTGGACAATTTAAAGCAATCTTCAGCTCCAAAGACAGCCTGGAAATAACGAGTTTTCACTGAACCGGGAGATAAGGACGTTAAATGTGCAGCCGTTTAAGTTACCCGAGACGCGCGAGGCACGTGGCCGGCGATCAGCCAGCGGTGTGGCTGCTGGCCACAACTTGGACGTCGCACTCTGATGGATGTGTAGTCAGTGTGTGTACCTGAATTCATTTCTCCCTTACTCTCTTTTCTTACGGATATAAAGTGGTCTGTAAAGGTTCCATTTTTTGACGTGCTCATTAGCAAGCCCCTGCCGACCTTTGTCTCCAGAGCCCCTGCGAAACCGGGTCTGTCAGCAAAAGACGGCGCCTTGGGAGACGCATAGGACCACGAATTTGCGCAGGCGAGAGAGGCGTTGTTCGTACCTCTTTTCTATGAGGCCGAGTACTCCCAGTACTCCCCTTCCCACAGTTGCCATCCGACTAATATTGACCTGTCGACCCGGACTCCCGGTGACCGTTACAATGTCGTCTATGTCAGCCTCTAGGCTGACATGGTAGAATAGACGCTGCTCACGAGATGTCATCAGGATGAGTTGACTGACCCTGCGGCTGGCAGCGATGGCTGGCACTAACAGCTCAGCCAGCCGCAGAGTCAGCCAACCAACCACTCGTAAGGAAAGGCTATAAAACCCCTCCAGATCCAGACAAGGTATGCATCCCACCTTTCACCCCTCCGACCATCCGACCAGACCAGTACATCCCCTCATCCCCTTCTCACCATGGACCCTAGCGTCCTCGGGGTGCTCCTCTTCTTCGTCATCGGGCTCTTATCCATGGGAGGTCTCGCTGTACTCATCTACTGGGCCATTCCTGCCATGGCGAACGCTGCTTTCATCTCTCATCTTCATGCTATCTCTGACTGGGCGCCCGCCGTGCGCGTCCCGCAGGGAAGTACTGCTTCGAACTCATCAGTAAGCCACTCATATATTGCCATGCCCTCTTCGATGCTGACATCATTCCAGAGAGACACTGAAAGTCAAGAAACTCCTCCGAACACCAGCCGTATGAAGCTATGGCTGATCGAACGTGTACGTGTCCTGCCCCTGCCACCCACCTATACTCATTGCATTGCATACAGTATTACCACACATGCCATATCACAAACACAATCAAGTCTTCTATCCTAAGCATCCCCGCCGCCCCACGTCTCCTTCTTACCTCTCCCTCCTTGCAAAGCCAGCCTCTCCCAGTGCCAACAACCACCCCGCCCCTCCCGCCGCTCGCCATCACCATTCCCCAGCCGTTCTTCCTCTCCGCCTTCTGGAAGCCGTCCGCCGTCCCGAGGCTCTTAGTCACCTTGGCCACCGGTGTCTCGCGCTTCTACACGCCCTCCGACCCGCTCCCACAGTTCGCCGACGTGGGCAGTAACGGTACGAACAGGGAGGTGCCACGCCAAGCTAGAGGATTCCTGCGGGTGAAGACCTGGGCGCGGTGGATGAGCGAGCGGATGTATGCCTTCGACATGGGGCTGCTGACGGTAAGCGACCGTGAAGGCCAAGGCTCGATACCCCCGAGCGGGTCCGCGTCCTCGGTCATCACGCCGGTGCCAACGCTCCCCATCCTCGTATCGCAGTGGACTGAACCTCCGCCGCCTTCACCCTCCCCGCCAACCACGAGAGCCGCAGTTACCAACCCCACCTACCAGTCCTCCCTCACCTCCGGCCGGGCCGCATGTGCCTCGCTGAAGGTGGCGATGAAGACGGAGGACTCGGCCCCTGCCTTCAGGCAAACGCCTGGTACCGAGACTCTACCCAGCAAGAAGACCGTCGAGATCGCTCTGTTCGCCGTGGGGGACGACCAGCCTATTCAGCCTTCCATTAGCATCAACAACCTCTTGGATGACTACCTCGAGGATGGAGAGACTGTTCCGCCGTCGGTAAGCGGCATATTCGATGAGTACCTCGACATGGACTCCTCCCCTCCTGAGCGGCGTCGCAGCGTTGTTATGGATAGTATAGACGAGGGAGACAAGGAAGAAGCAGAAGGCGAGGGCGGGGCAGTTCCCGAAGCTGCACCCATCGTCCAGGAGGTGAAGGTCACCGAGCCCCTCACCCTGGTGAGGGTGGTAGCCGTCCCTGCGCTGTCAACGAGCCGCTCTTCCCTGGCGACGACGCTCGTTCCTGTCTTGAGCGAGGAGGCTATTTTCTCCCTCGGTTCTCCGGACGCGCAGGGAGCCGCCGCCCCTGAAGTTCTTGCTGTGGAGGTCAAGGAACCCGCTCTCGACGTTCTTCCTTCCCCGGAGAACGATAAGGAAGGGGACAAGTACAGGTAAGCCTTCATCATTCCCCGTTTTTCTTCTGCGTCCAACCATCGTTACCTAGCACCAGCAGCGACGAGTCCATGTCCGACATCATCGCCCAGCTGCCTGTACTTCAATCAGCGCCCGCTGCGAACGACGAAAAGAACAAGAAGCGCACTCGCCGCCAGCAAGTCATCACTCGTCCTGTCATCGTCCCAGCTCCCGCCACTCTGACCCGTCTGCACTCCAAGAAGGTCGAGAAGAAGGATCAGTATACGCCCGCTCCCGTCCGGCGGTCTTCGAGCTCAAGCTCTTCTGTACCCACTGGTGACGAGAAGGACAAGAAACGCGCTCGCCGCGCGCAAGTACTCACCAGCGCGGTCGTCGTCCCCGTCCCTACCACCACGCGTCGGAAGAACGCTCCAGCTGAAGAGAGGAAGGGGGGCAAAGTCTTCCGAAGGCACGAAGAGAAACCCTGTCCCAACGCCATCGGCACTTTGACTGCCGGCGTCGGGAGAGGCGTCGGGCGCGGTGTGGCTCCGCAGCAAAAGGATCACATCCGTGGGCCCGCGCTCAAGAGACACCAGAAGGCTGCTGCAATTGCGAACAAGGAGAACGTCCGTTCGCGGTAGAAATGGCAGAGAATGAAGAATCGCGAACAAAATTCAAACAAATCAAGATAAGAAGAAACCCCCAAGACCCTCATCTCTCCAACTCGTATTTCTCTCTTTGCTATGGTATTTTTCTGGGCTCTTGGGCTACGCCGACATCCGACCGACTCTCATCTTACATTTGGCTCGACACTTGACGAACCCCCGCTCCAACCTCCAACATCCGCGGCGACCAGAACACGAACAAGCTCTCGTTAGGAAGACGTCAGCTCAGGTGGTAAGAGTCCGATCCTCTTACCGGTGGGGCCTGATCACCCCCGCCCTCCGGCCTAGCAACCGCTGTACGTCTTCGGTTCATGTTCTGGTATAGCCTTTCTTTGTATCCCTGGATTGTTTGCATGTCGAGTTTTGTATGAGATGGGATCGATTGGGTGTCAAGGGTGTTTTATATCCCGTCTGTATGTGTATCTGCTTCTGCTTCTGTATCAGTGTAGCCTCCGCATTTATTATCTTTGACTCGATGACTTGTAAGACACATCACCAGTGGATGTCGGTGCAAGCGGTTCCTTGCGCCGCACATTGGTGTGTTTCGTGGACACCTCGAACGCGGATATACTTACACGGACGACACCTTTACAACCGAACGGGCCGATGCGAGCACGCGTCTTCATGTCCAGCTCCCAGTCGGAGCCGCCATTCGGAGTAGAAGCTCGGGTAAGGGCTTATCATGGAGTTGGGTCGCGAATGTTGCCAGACGAGAAGTTCGCGAGTCTCCATCATCTGCAGGTACGCCGGCAGAGGCGAGACGTCAGCGCACGGCGCCTCTACGCCGTGCGGGCTGGGCACGGACAGCGGGGGCCCCTGGCACCAAGATGAGTTTTCAACGACCGCCTGAGCAGCTGAACGACACCCGAACCGACAGAGAACAGATGTAGTCTCAGCCAGGACTGTGCCCCTTCCCCATCGCTCCGTTTGCAGGTTGACCGGCTTTGCCTCTTCAGAGACGAGCGGGCCGCAGTTGACGCCCCCCAAGTCGACGACGGGTATCGCGACCACTTCGCCCCGGTATACTTGCAGTACATTCCAACAAGCTCGGCAGTGTGGCATTGCAATATACCCCGCTGAAGCACACTCCAGAGGGGATGTCACGAAGCCGTTCCGTGCCAAAAGAAAGACTGGAGACGAGGTGACGTGCTCAGTGCGCACCTCGGGAGACACCAAAAGCCTAGCATGCCCGCTTGACGTTGCGGGAGCATGTATACACGTCTCGCGATATGTGCCTGTTTCCAGGTAGGACGCCAGCGCGGTGCAGGGAAAACGCCAAAGCAGATTCTCATCGATAATTGCGGGCCTGAATGAGGCCAACCCCTGCGTTAACCAAGCGACGCGAGATATACACGAAGAACTGACATGATCCTCAAGGCACCCCACGATGCCTGGCCTGCAAGACAGATAACTTGTGACCCGTTGCGTCCAGTAACCGCCAGAAGGGCATGCGCCGTGTAGACGAGAGACCAGTCTGCCGTCTCCGTAGGATTATGGAGGCAGGGCGGAGGCGCCTTGAGAGCTCGTGGCGGTTGCACAAGCGTCGTACATGCAGCCCCTGCAAACGCATGCGTATCCACCAACGCAGTTCGGGCTCTGCAGGAGCGTGCAGTGACCGGGAGAGCACGCCGCCCACTGGAATCGAACTGCAGTCGGCCGTGGCCGAATCAACACTGGCACAGAGACGGACGGACCTGCGGCGGAGCATCAGCCTTCTCGCATCGTTGGGCAGTCCGGTTGGAGTGCAACTATCTTCACTGGCGGTGACGGCCCCGCGTGTGCATACGCAAGGGTGCACTAATACAGAGCCCGGGGAGAGCACATCCTTCAGCGTACGTCGAGATACACGGAGAGTCGGGCATCCCAGCTTCGCGACTCGGGAGCAGGTACGTACGCCACAGGATACGTGCCTTCACCCGAATTGCGCGGCCGGGATGCCCGCCACTGGCGAACGCACGTCAAAACGAACCGACGATGACGCACCTAAACGAGCTCTACGCCTGGGTTGACCAAGCGACGTGAGACACAGGAGGAACACCGGTTTGCAAGACGACTCATGAGACTGTCCCGTTGCGTCCAGTAACCGGTGCACGTACCAGATGGTTCTGCTTCCCGCGAGATATCCACACTCGCCATCGACCGTGGGCCAGGATGACGACTGCGCGCCAAGCAATTCGCTCTGCGAAAGAGACACTAGATCAGGCAAATATACATGGCCGAGTCACGACGTGCCTGTTCAGGAAGTGGACGAAGGCCGTCCGTGTCTTGTCGAGGCTGATGTCGCTGGTTCCGAGGACGCACCTGGAGCGCGGGGGTGCTTTTATTAGCGCTGGGGCCCACGGCCGTGGCTATGAAGAGATGATGGTCAGTTCAGAAGCCCCTATCAGAAGACGCAGCCCGCATACGTGCAGACCCTGCAAGGGGATGGGCACCTGCCGAGGATTGAGTTTCGGCTGCGCCACCGAGCTCGGATGCTACGAGTTCGGTTGACTGTTGACTGCGGGGGACGTGGAGGTCGCGACGTCGGACGCAAACGAACGTTGACGGTTGGATAATTATCTGCTGAAAGAGTGTGAGTGGCACCGAAGGGAGTGAGAAGGAGGTTATCGGACGGTGGCAATAGAAGGAAGGGGGCTCCGAGTATGTCATGGATCACTCACGGGTGCTTGCGGTGCAGTCATTAATTCTGACTTTATACACAGCGCTGTCGGGCCTCCGACGCTGAGTAGCTCGGCGCAGACGCGAGCAGCGATTAATGATTTACGGCGGGAGACAAAGGATGTACGGGAGCCTATGGGAGCCCTAATGGAGTGAAGCTTCTTACCGTGGGAACGCAGCGCCGTATCGCATTTTACGTTAGTGGCCTCGGATTCGTATAAGTGCCCAGCGTACTCACTTTCCCCCAGCCTCGACGACCGCGACCTTGACGACCCTTTCCTTCATTTTTCTGGCTAATTATTACCGCAAAGTGCCATGTCCGTCGACGCCGTGCCCGCCCGCCGCCGCCGCCACTCGGGCTCCAACGCCGCCGAGCTCCATTTTCTCAACCCCGCGTCCCGCGCCGCCATCGCCCCCCCGCCGCGCCCCAAATCCACGCCCATCGAGGAGCCGCCGTTACAACGTCTCAGACGCAGCACGCCCTCCGACTCTGAAGACGCTGACTCGGACGCGGAGAACAACAAGATGCAGAAAATCGAGTCCGACGACGACATGATGGGCGGCGGCAGCAGCAGCGACGCCAGCTCCTCGCACCCCGCGCCCAAGCCCGACTCCCGCCCGACCAAGCCCCTCCCCGCCAAAGCCCGAAAACTCCAACAGCAGCAACAGTCGACGTCCTCGCCCCTCCCGCAGGTCGCCAACCCGCACATGCTCCCCGTGCAGCACAGCGTGCCCAAGGCCAACTCGGGCCAGCGCAGGCTGTACGTGATCCTCGAGCAGGCGTGCCTCGAGGCGTACCGCGTCAGCAGCGGCGCAAAGGCCAAGTCCGGCCGGCACGCCGACGACGGCGTCAAGTATGCGCTGCTCAACTGCGACGACCACCAGGGCATCCTCGCAAAGATGGGGCGGGACATTGCGGATGCGCGCCCGGATATCACGCACCAGGTGAGTTTGTTTGCTAAATGGAGGAGGGTGGGAGGGACGTGCTGATGGCAGTGGTGGGTAGTGCCTGTTGACGCTGCTCGATTCGCCGCTCAACAAGGCGGGCTTGCTGCAAATTTACATACACACGGCCAAGGGCGTGCTCATCGAGGTCAACCCCCATGTGCGCATCCCGCGGACGTTCAAGCGGTTCAGCGGGCTCATGGGTGAGTCCCTACGAAGCATCTTTGTATTTTGCGTTCTACCTGACAATTTTCCGGCCCAGTCCAACTCCTGCACAAGCTGTCCATTCGCGGCGTCAACGGCTCTGAGAAATTATTGAAAGTTATCAAAGTACGTCTCCGCCCCCCTCTCCGTCCACTTCATGCCCTGACCGTTCTGCAGAACCCCGTCACCGACCACCTCCCTCCCAACACCCACAAAATCAGTGCGTCATTTCCCCACCCTCATCCCCCATCCCCTTGAACTCACACCCCACCCCCATCCAGCGCTCTCCGGCGACGCCCCCACCGTCCGGCTCTCCTCTTACCTCCGCGCGCTCCCGGAGACGCACTCGATCGCGATCTTCGTCGGCGCGATGGCAAGGGGCAAGGACGACTTTGCCGACGCCGTCGCGGACGAGAAGATCAGCGTGAGCAACTACCCGCTCAGCGCGAGCGTCGCGTGCGGGAAGTTTTGCTGTGCGCTCGAGGAGATGTGGGATATTATCTGAGGGTTGGTGTTGAGGTGTTGGTGATGGTGATGGTTACATTTTTTGGTTTGGTTTTGGTTCGGTTCGGCTGGTCAGGTCCCGTCGTCGCGCTCCCTTCCCCTCCCCTACACCCCACAAAGCCCACACTCTTTCGTTCCAGTGCGCATCTGCCTCTAGTCTTGTTTTCCCTTCCCTGTTCTGTTCCCCGCTGCATTCAACCTGCACTTGTACTACCACCCCCGCACATGCACCCGCCCCACGACACGCCAGAGCGCCCCGCTCACGACCGCCCACCCGGGGCATACACACCCACGATCGCGCAATCAACTTGCGCACCCTGCTTGTATTGTACTCTATCCATAGAGCCTGCGTTGCGGTACATATGTATTCTGCCTGCCTTGATACATTATCTGTACTGCGAACACATGAACGCGTCCGCAGACTGGGATTCGGAAGACATAAAGTCGGGGCTGGACAAGTGGCTGAGATCGATGGGATTGATGCGTGGAGTGCCTGACTGTGGCTTGCTGGCGCTCGATTACACAGGAGACTGGCAGTTCAGCTCAGCCTTATCCGCACTTTCTTGCCTCCTCACCACTTTCACCTTCCCTTCCCTACACGCCAGAGACGATGGCCGAACCAGCGAGCGCGAGCGCGATGCCGGCGGGCGTGACCGACCCGACCTACAAGCCCCCGCCGGGGCGCCTGGGCAACCTCACCGTGGCGCAGCAGCACGCGCTCGAGACGCTGCGCAAGCAGCTGCAGGACGAGGGCCACTTTGTGCCCGAGCGCATGGACGACGCGACGCTCCTGAGGTGCGTGCTGTGATGTCTTCAGCCCGGGGGTGGTGTACTGGGGAGGGGGAGGCTGATGCGTTTTGGTGGGATGTCAGGTTTTTGAGGGCGCGCAGGTTCGATGTGGCCAAGGCCAAGGCGATGATACTCGCTGCTGAGCAGTGGAGGAAGGAGTTTGGGGTGGACGACCTCGTCAAGTACGTCCTCTTCTGCCTGAGGCTCGGGAGTACAACTCATCGCGCGCCCCTAGGAACTTTGATTTCAAGGAAAAAGCAGAGGTGGACAAGTACTACCCGCAGTACTACCACAAGACGGACAAGGTGCGCGTGCCGTGCGCCCCGCGGTAGCAGTCTGCTCACACACGCACACACACACCGCAGGAGGGGCGGCCCGTCTACATCGAGCGCCTGGGCAAGCTGGACATCAAGGCGCTCTACGCGATCACGACCATGGACCGGCAGCTCAAGCGGCTCGTCTACGAGTACGAAAAGTTCCTCAACGAGCGCCTTCCCGCGTGCTCCAAGGCGATCGGGCACCCCGTCGAGACGTCCTGCACGATCCTCGACCTCAAGGACGTCTCCCTCTCCAACTTCTACCGCGTCAAGGACTACGTCTTCCAGGCGAGCAGCATCGGGCAGGACCGCTACCCCGAGACGATGGGCAAGTTTTACATCATCAACGCGCCCTGGGCGTTCAGCGCGGTCTGGGCGGCGATCAAGCCGTGGCTGGACGAGGTGACGGTCAGCAAGATCGATATTCTGGGCAGCGGGTACAAGGAGAAGATCCTGCAGCAGATACCGGCGGAGCACCTGCCGAAGGAGCTCGGCGGGACGTGCGAGTGCCCCGGGGGCTGCTCGCTGAGCGACGCGGGCCCGTGGAATCCGAGCTCGGCGGACTATGTGGGCGAGAAGGCGTAGATGGTACAGGGATCGTTGGTTTCGCGTACATCTTGCACGCCCCCTTGCGCTAGCGTACACTGTACAAAATATACCATAATCTCATCCTCGAGTCGTCGGTTCAGAGTGGGGGATGCGTATTATTAGTCGCATATACGATACATGCACAAGGGTCGCCCGCGCTCACACCTTCCGCCCCTTCTCCTTTTCCCACTCGCCCACCTCCTTCTCGAACCTCGCCACGACGTCCTCGACGCCCGTCACCTGCCCGAACGCATCTACAAACTGGCCCGCCGGGTCCATGAGGTATATGAAGATTGAGTGGTCGACGAGGTAGTCGTCGCCGGGCTTCGTGCCCGGCGGCGTGCTAAAGTACACGCGGTACGCCTTGCACGCGGCCTTGACGGCGTCGTACGGCCCCGTGAGCCCGACGAAGCGCGGGTGGAAGTCGGTGAGGTACTTCGCGATCTGCGCGGGGGAGTCGCGCGCGGGGTCCACGGAGATGAAGATGGGCTGGATGACGGCGCCCGGGTACTTCGCGTCTGGTGGGGGTCAGGGATGATATGCAGGGAGGCAGGGAGAGGTACATGCCTATTTTGTTGACGATGGTGCTCATCTTATCCAGCTCGGCGGGGCAGATATCGGGACAGTTCGTGAAGCCGAAGTAGATGAGGCTCCATTTGCCCAGCAGGTCCTTTTCGGTAAAGGGCTCGCCCTTGTGTGTGCTGAGGGAGAAGGGGCCGCCGACGTGTGCGCGGCCATATTGGCGTGATTCGAGTTCCTTTTCTGTGGGAGGTGTATGAGTGCCGGAGCCCGGGCGATGGGAGGAGAGAGGACGCACCGCGTTGCTCGAGCAGTTTGGCCTTTTCGTGCCGGAAGTACCAGAACAGACCGACTCCGGAAAGAACAAAGAGAATAGCAGCTTTGGGGGTGAATACCTAACGCGAGGATATGACACAACGTCCTCCGCGGAAAGAGGAAACAACACTCACCCCGACCGCAGCCCTATCCCGCTCTCCCGAGGACGTCTGGTGGCTCACATACCGTCTCGGAGAGGTCGTACGAGCCTGCGGATGTCGAGCCAGACGCAGCGCAGAGGAGACTCTGCGCAGGCATTGCGGTTTTGCGGTTGCGAGAGCACGCTGCCTGACGGCGGAGAGAGGGAAAGGTGGGCGCATGGAGGTCCGCGCGTAAATTGCCACACCTCTTCCGCTGTCGAGTTCTCGATACTATTAACATTATTCGTAACCTGGGCTGCCTGCCCCAGTTACTTCGTACCTTTAATGCATATCCAGGACGGAGTGTCAAGCAGTTGTTGCGCAGACTGAGCAGGTACACTACTCCAATTTCCGAAGTCACTAGTACTGTGGCCCCCAGCACTTCGAATTCTGCCACAATCCTGATACGATGCTGCCCCAACACTGTGTTCCGTCGCATGTATAGCGTTCCTATATTATAATTGCCTTGCCCCGGCGCGGTCGGAAACAAGTGAAGCCCAGTGTGGATCCGCAGCACTGAATATTCCGTACCCAAGACCTTCGACCATAAATATCTCTCTCTTTGCATATAGGTCACGCAGCAGCTTCGGAAACCGGGAATAACCTATTCATATCCTGGACGCAGCGAGCGTATCTCCCCGAGGAACGCCTATATGCCTGGGACACCGGAGTTAAGCCACTCAGTCATCCTCTCCTCCTGCCTTTCCAGGGAATATGCGATGCACCGCTCGTATGGGCGGTTTGCTCGTCCGTCAAGCTTCTGTCGGGACTATGTTGGAGGGGGAGCGCCGCAGCGGCGAGGGAGCTGCAATACAACGACATTGGTAGTATATAAGGACCTATGGCTATGATGGATAAACACCATTGTGGACAGACGATACATCTTGAACTATGGAGGACGACATTGCCGCGATCGTAAGTGGTATCTCGATCTATCCAGGAAATGGGAGCCAATAATAAACCTGCCACAGGTTATTGACAATGGCTCCGGGATGTGCAAGGCTGGATGTAAGTGGTTATCTGAGTATTAAAAAGTATCCCAATTGTTGACCTTGTCTGCGTTAGTTGCTGGTACGCTGATATACGCTCAGGATGGCTTACCGTCCCTCCTAACCCTGTACCAGGCGACGATGCACCCCGTGCGGTATTCCCGTGAGTGGCATTCATCTGCAGACGTCCCCCTTGCTAAAGGACCTCCAGCTCCATTGTAGGGCGTCCCCGGCATACCGGTGTCATGGTCGGAATGGGCCAGAAGGACTCCTACGTCGGGTGGGTCGTTTTACCTGCCAATTCCGATGGTCCCCCAATCTAACCCCCGCCAGAGACGAAGCCCAAGCAAAACGGGGTGTCCTAACACTCCGGTACCCCATCGAGCACGGCATCGTCACCAACTGGGACGACATGGAGAAGATCTGGCACCACACCTTCTACAACGAGCTGCGCGTCGCGCCGGAGGAGCACCCGATCCTCGTCACCGAAGCCCCGCTCAACCCGAAATCCAACCGCGAGAAGATGACGCAGATCATGTTCGAGACGTTTAACGCGCCCGCGTTCTACGTGCAGATCCAGGCCGTGCTCTCTTTGTACGCGTCGGGACGCACGACGGGGATCGTGCTCGACTCGGGCGACGGCGTGACGCACACGGTGCCCATCTACGAGGGCTTCGCGCTCCCGCACTCCATCCTGCGGCTCGACCTCGCCGGGCGGGACATCACGGATCTGCTGGTGAAGACGCTCACGGAGCGCGGGTACATGTTCAAGACGACCGCGGAGCGCGAGGTCGTCAGGGATATTAAGGAGCGGCTGTGCTACGTCGCGCTGGATTTCGAGCAGGAGCTGCAGACGGCGCTGCAGAGCAGCGCGCTGGAGAAGAATTACGAGCTGCCGGACGGCCAGGTGATTACGATTGGGAGCGAGCGGTTCCGCGCGCCCGAGGCGCTCTTCCAGCCCAGTATGATGGGGCTCGAGGCGGCGGGGATTCACGAGACAACGTACGCGTGGGCGTTCATCCCGTACCTGTCATGCTGACTATTCGATTGCCAGCTATAACTCGATATTCAAGTGCGACCTGGACATTCGCAGGGAGCTATACGGCAACGTCGTCATGTCGGGTGGCACCACCATGTTCCCAGGCATCGCCGACCGCATGCTGCGCGAACTCACTGCGCTTGCACCGTCGAGTATGAAGGTGAGTGCATTATTACCCTCACGTGAGAACTATCCTCATCGTGCGTGCTCCCTCGCAGGTCAAGATCGTCGCCCCGCCCGAACGAAAATACTCAGTGTGGATTGGAGGCTCGATTCTCGCGAGTCTCAGCACGTTCCAGAACCTATGGTGCTCGAAGCAGGAGTACGATGAGGCAGGGCCGGGGATCGTGCACCGGAAATGCTTCTGAGACGTGGACGGAGCTTAAGTAGACACTTTCCGCTGCTGACGAGGTGGCCATGTATATTACGATTATCTTCTGTGCATCAAGTTACCCCTCGAGGGAATGTCGTTTGCGAAATAGAACACTGGGAAGTTGATGCCAGCATGCCTCATTCTAGAGTCATTAGAGCGGATGGGTGATAGTCTGCTTGCTAGGCAACCGGCAGTACCTGGCCTTGGCCTCTTCGCATGCCCCCAATTTAAGGACCAGCACCCATCCCAACCGATGCAGCGCGCCCCCCACGCCCCAGCAGCCGCTCACTCGGCCTCCTGCCTCTCCTCTAGCTTCTTCTTCGACAGCGCCTTCATTCGGCGCATGTAGCTGACAAACAGGCCGTCAGCACGCAATGCAACCGCCGTGCGTAGAATATCACACTCACTCTTCCCATTGACACCTACAACCCATGCCTCAGCAAGGAAAATAGACAGACGCCAGGACAGTCAGACTCACTTCTCGTACGCGTGCCGCTCATGCCCGCACTCCCATGGCATGTAGTACTTCTCCTTCCGGCAGACGTTCAAGGGGATCAGCAACCTAAGGCCCGTTCACGTTCATGTCAGGACAGCACCCTAGCGCGAAGATGGCGGGTCAACGAACGAGGAACATTGGTCTCTCCAGCCTAGCGGGACCTTGTGCGCTTTGAGCTCGGACTGGGAGGCGGTAGTGGCGGAGGCCATAGTGGACGGGAGGACAGAACGTAGGCACGGGGAATCCCGATGACGGTTGCAGGACGGGCACGAAGACTTAGGGTTAGGGTCACGCATACCTCTGAGAGTATCCAGAGTGCAAGCATTACAATGAGATATAATGATGATTGCAAAACACGACTAGAATGAGATAAAACTACAACCCCCACAGCACTACTACTTCTTTTGCTGCTGCGGCTCCTCCTCGCCCTGCTGCATACTCATCTCGATCGCGCGCGCAATCGCCTCCTCCTCGCTCATCTCCTCGTCTTCGCCCTCGCCTTCTGCGTGCTCGTGCATCTCCACGTCCTGCTGCTCCTGGCTCATCGCCAGCGCCTGCCGCAGCATCGCCTCTTCCTCGTCATCCGTGGGCTCGGCGGGTACCGTCACAGTTGTAGTCGTCGTAGGTGCAGCAGGCTGAGCTGGTGTTGACGTCGTAGCGGGTGTTGGTGTCGAGGCTTGCTGCGCCTGGGCTGCTGCTTGCCGCGCTTGCTCTTCTTCCATCGACATACGCAGTGCCTAAAGAGTATTTAGTCTCTGTACCATGTATGGCAGAGCAACACTCACCATAGCCAGTTCCGGGTCCAGAGTCGGGTCAACGCCGAATTCGAATTGGCTGCCCGCTGCAGCACCTTCGCCACCTGCACCGCCGTCAGCCATGGGCTCTGGAATGCCGCGGTCAGCCGCGAGGATAGCTGACGAAATGATCATATCGCTGAGGAGATGGGGCCCTGGGGGGATCGACACTAGATGTCTATTCACAACATATCATGAGCATGCTCGTCGAGGTTTGTATAACCGAACTCACGAGTTGTCTCCACTCGACGCAGCGTCCACAAACGCCTTCAGCACGTTCCCCTCGGGGCCCTGCCCGCCCTCCTCGATCGCGTCCCCGAAGGCGATCACGTCCACCGCGACGTTGTTCTTCTTGAGCTTCTTCGCGAGGCGCACCATGCCCTTCTCGTCCGCGGCTGCGCCCTCGAGCGGCGAGCCGACGAAGAGGATGATGCGCTGGCGCAGGTTCTTGTTCTGCCGGTGCTTGAGCGCGAGCTGCGCGACGTTGAGCGCGGTGGGGATGTCCGCGGAGCCGCCGATCTTGCTGGAGGCTTTGTGTGTCCCCTGGAGGATCTGGCCGATGTCGCGCGAGTGGGTTACGAGGACTTCTGGGCTGTATGGTGGTTCGTCAGTATGGTGCTTTGCACAGCCAGTGGGCAGAGGGGTGAGCAGTGAGGTATTTGGACGTACGCTTTGCCTGCCATAGTCATCAATCCGACTGTGCTCTCCGGGTTCGAGTCCACCTTTGTCTGGAATATCGTAGTCACCGCGTCCGACTGGGCTTGGAACCGCGTAGGCTGGTAGTCCCCATTCCGCATGTACTCGGAATTGTCGATAATCATCAACGTAGCTTCCAACGGCATCTTGTAGGAAACCTCTCAAAATGACGGTTGCAAGAGGTGGTATGTGGTACGAGACCAGGAAAAGACGAAGTGTAGGGCGGGACGGTGGACTTAGCGTGAGCAGATGGAAATGACGCGTCGCGTCTGTGTTTGGCCTTGATTTGGCAAGGCCTCCTCCTGCGACGCCACAATCCATAATGACCTTCAACCCCTCGTCGTACTGTCATGAACCTTCCGGTATGTATATACAGTGGGTAAACTGTGTATCAATGCCACTTGTTGGATCCAGCCGCTTGAGCAGCCTCCGCCTTGACCTCTCTCAAGATAGGAATAACAGTGTGCTTTCAGCGCAGATCCTCGCTCGAGTTTGAAAGTCCTCGTGCATGAGCACCCCTGCTCTGAGTTGGGATTAAACTACCGAGTAATGCACCTTCTCTTCTACACCAGCGTCGCATTTAATGCAAAAGAAACACAATTTGATCAGCCCTGATACAGATCCGGTCTGTGAGGCGTAATCTAGACAAAACCCCTTCGCCCTGAAATAGAGTCGCAGCCTGTCTGAGCTGGCAAATATGAATCCACGCCCTTCCATACCGTCAAATGCATCTAAACATAACTGTCTCCATCCTCCTGGCTTTCATTATTGGGTGCCCCGGGCGGTCCCCGGAGTCCCCGGAGGCCATATCGGGGGTGCTTCCGGGGGACCTGCCCTAAATAAAAGTGGATCGGATAACCGACGACGCTCCTGACCGTCACCACCCTCTGCCCTACCATCGCCTGCGCGCCCCCGAGCTCTTAGCAAAGGTCGGTCTTATGCCCTCGTCGTCGTTCGGCACAGCGCTGACCATAACACCACGCTCGGTCCATTACACATCCGCTGTTGCTGCGCATACCTGTGTTGCGATGACGGTGTATCTTGATTGCGGTATATAAACGGCTTGTCGCTGGCAATTTGGTGATCTTTCTCTTGCCCTCCTGAAGCTCTAGGATCCCCCTCTTCTTCTTTTCCTTTTTACTTTCACGAATTAATCGCCAGCCATGGATGACGAAGTCGCTGCTCTCGTGCGTAGACGTGGTGTTATGTGCAGATGGGGACCCCTTTTGACGTGTTTCGGGCGTAGGTTATTGACAATGGTTCCGGAATGTGCAAGGCTGGCTGTGAGTGCATGGCATCTTTCTGTGAATTGAGCGTAGCTAATCGTGCCTGTTTGCAGTTGCCGGTATGTTGAAGAATGCTATTTGCTTTGCGAGTTTGGTATTGACATGTCTCAGGTGACGATGCCCCTCGTGCCGTCTTCCCGTCCATCGTCGGTCGTCCCCGTCACCAGGGTGTGATGGTTGGTATGGGTCAGAAGGACTCCTATGTCGGGTGGGTCTAACTGTTCTTCAACATAACGAGTGTCCCTGACGCGTCATGCAGCGACGAGGCACAGTCGAAGCGTGGTATCTTGACCCTCAAGTATCCCATCGAGCACGGTATCGTTACCAACTGGGACGACATGGAGAAGATTTGGCATCACACCTTCTACAACGAACTCCGTGTCGCGCCCGAGGAGCACCCCATCCTGCTCACGGAGGCCCCCCTCAACCCCAAGGCCAACCGTGAAAAGATGACGCAGATCATGTTCGAGACGTTCAACGCCCCCGCGTTCTACGTCGCCATCCAGGCCGTGCTCTCCCTGTACGCCTCCGGTCGTACCACCGGTATCGTGCTCGACTCTGGTGACGGTGTCACGCACACTGTCCCCATCTACGAGGGTTTCGCGCTCCCGCACGCCATTCTCCGTCTGGACCTTGCCGGTCGTGATCTGACCGACTACCTCATCAAGATCCTTATGGAGCGCGGCTACCCTTTCACGACGACTGCCGAGCGTGAAATCGTCCGTGATATCAAGGAGAAGCTTTGCTACGTCGCTCTCGACTTCGAGCAGGAGCTCCAGACTGCTGCGCAGAGCAGTGCTTTGGAGAAGAGCTACGAGCTTCCGGACGGTCAGGTTATCACTATCGGTAACGAACGGTTCCGTGCTCCGGAGGTGCTCTTCCAGCCCGCCATGCTGTCGCTAGAAGCCCAGGGTATCCACGACACGACGTGAGTTCTTGGAGATATGTTGGCTAAGTAGCGGTGCTGACCAAGATCTCTAGGTACAACTCCATCTTCAAGTGCGATCTCGATATCCGTCGCGATCTGTACGGCAACGTCGTGCTCTCCGGTGGTACCACCATGTTCCCGGGTATCGCCGACCGTATGCAGAAGGAGTTGACGTCGCTCTCGCCGTCAAGCGTGAAGGTCAAGATCGTCGCGCCGCCCGAGCGGAAGTACTCCGTCTGGATCGGTGGGTCCATCCTGGCGTCGCTGTCGACGTTCCAGAACCTGTGGTGCTCGAAGCAGGAGTACGACGAGTCAGGTCCGGGGATTGTGCACCGCAAGTGCTTCTAAACGATATAATAATGGTGCTGCTGGTGCTTTGGTTTTGTGGCTGGAGCGCGTCTTACGTTACGTTACGATGGTGGTTTTCGGCTCGCGTTTAGTTCCCGCCCTCCCGTGATTCTTTTCTCCTTTCGCTGCATATTTTTACCTGTTAGTTACAGAAGAGAATAAAAAGGCAGGAATTGTAATGCAGAGGTGCATGTGAGATCTATTGCGGTGGCTGTCTGTAAGCACGTTCGTCGTTATTCACTCGAACGCATGGTAGACGCTGGTATTTTCCTCAAAGGCTAAATACCTGGATGCACCTGACCAGGCTATGACAAAACTAAATACGCGAATCTTCTTCTCTACCACACAGTACCACACTCGCGAAGACAGGACGCACTCGTGACTGCTGTGCCGAACATCGATGTTCACGCGTTCACGAGTGAGGAGCACAATATCTCCTTCAAAGCCGCTCGACACCTCCCGGAAGCTTGCCCATTGTATGTTCCTATGGCTGTAGCACTTTCAGCACATCCGTAGAGGCATGCAATGTGTACGCAGGGCGTGATTGCCAATGAAATGCCGAGCCCAGGTTGCTGCAACTTGCACCATCTTTCTCTCTAGCACGCCTCGCTCAGTCTTCTGGCAAATACTGACCGCGGCTTCTCTAGGTATCAGCTGGCCAGAAGCGTCATGGCTCGCGATGCAGCGTATATAAGCGACGAGGTCTCGAGGGCTGCTTGACTGTCGTGGTCTTGCTGCGTTATGAGGTCCCTCGCGTTTCTTGTAGCTCTTGCGGCATCATGCTACGCCAGGGCCCCCTCGGGTCCCTGGGACGAGTTCAACTATGCGCCCGCGTCGAAGACGGTGGTGCCTGTTCGGGTCTACTCTGTTGTAGGCTCTGTTGCGGGCGCCGAAGGGCTTGTGAGTGGCCCAGACGGTCAAGCGACGTTTTCTTCGGACGGATCACATGTCACGCTCGATTTCGGCAAGGAGGTAAGTGTAGCGGGAGCCATGCTGAGCATATCTTAGTGCTGAGAGTATGGCATGCACAGGTCGGCGGTGTAGTGTCACTCAATGTAGACAATGCGACGTCGCAATCGGCATTCTCGCTTTCCTTCACCGAGTCGCCGCTGTTCATCAACCCAGAATGGTCGGACGATTCGGTAATAACCAACCCGTTCCAGAGAGCGGACGGCGTCGAGTCCGTCCCGGCACCTTTAACTGTCGGTATCTTCACCCAGCCGACGGAACGCCTCCGTGGCGGTTTTCGCTACTTAACCATTGTCTCCAACTCGGCGGCACCTCTCACGATTTCGAACATCAGCGTTGTGATCACGTTCGCGCCTCATATTGAGGACCTGAGGAATTACACTGGTTACTTCTATGCAGAAGACCCTGTCTACGACGACCATGATTTCCTGACGAAGCTTTGGTATGCGGGAGCGTATACTGTACAGACGAACACCATAGCCTCCGACCAGGGGAGGCAGAGCGCAGGCACTGTCACTTTGCCAGGTACGTCCCGCGAGCACGGATGCGCAGGCGCACTGGATTTGACGCAGAAGTAACCCAGGATGGGCCAATAATGCGTCTCTTGGTCCTGTCTCGGGACCATGCTTAGTTGATGGAGCCAAGAGAGACAGGTAAGCCCGCGCCTGCAATATTAATCTTCGGACAAACGAGTCTGACCTGCACTGCTTGCAGAACTGTCTGGCCTGGTCAGTCTGAACATTCCACTTTTTTTGCATGAGTGGTCTGATTAGGGGTCAGGCGACATGGGAATATCGACCCACACACAGCTCGTCTCGACCAACGATCTCATCGCAACGCGCAATTCCCTCCTAGTCATGTTTTCTACCCAGGATGCAACCACTGGTGCCCTCAACTATTCCGGCCCTACTATCAATGCGCAGGGAAGCGACACCTACATCTCCTGGAGTCTTCTCGGCACGCACAGCTACTTCTTGTACACGGGTGATATCGGCCTAGTGCAGACCGTCTGGGCCAATTACACCAAAGCTGTAGCGTTTCTGAGCAGCCAGATCGACGAGACTGGATTGCTCAACGTCAGGGCAGACTTTTCCAACGATTGGGGAAGGGTAGGAGGTGCCGGACGCAACTCTGCGGCGAATGCCTTGATGTATGCTGTAAGTCTGTCCGCGATGCGTAGCGGTGCGTCGGGGCTGACCGATCGTAGACGTATGTCGCCGCCGCCGAGCTCGCCGGCTACGTAAACGACACGAGTTCGCAAGCTGCGTACGCCACTAACGCGACCACCCTGAAGGCAGCGTACAATGACCTCCTCTGGGACGCCTCCGCTGGGTTGTACCGCGATAATGATACGACCAGTCTTTACCCGCAAGACGGCAACTCGTTGGCGGTGCTGTACAATCTGACGAACAACGCGAGCCAGACTCAGGCCGTTAGCGACGGACTGACCCAATTCTGGACGGATATCGGTACGCTCTCCCCAGAGCTGAACGACACGATCATACCCTTCGTTGGAGGATTTGAGGTGATTTTCTCTACCGCCTCTGCGAAAAAAAAACGCTCTGCTGATCATCACTCAGGTTCGTGCGCATTTCATCGCCGGAAATGGCGAGCGCGCGCTGGATCTGTTGCGCAAGGAATGGGGGTACATGCTGTATACGAACATAAGCGTGCAGTCGACGCTTCTCGAAGGATTCACGGCCAATGGCTCGCTGGGGTATGTCCATCGTGTTGTGGGACCGCGCCAAAGTTAATGTCGGCGTCTCGTCTCGACAGCTACCGCGCGGCCGCTGGGTACGATTACGACGACTCATACACCAGCCACGCGCATGGATGGAGCACAGGCCCGACGCCTGCCTTGACGTTCCATGTGCTGGGTTTACAGCTGACTTCTCCCCAGGGCCGGACATGGTCGATTGCACCCATCACCAGCGGGCTTAAGTCGGCGGCCGGTGGCTTCGAGACGGGGTTGGGATGGTTTGGGGTCGACTGGTCCATTGCCGATGATACTCTGAGAGTTGAGGTCGATACTCCGGAGGGGACGTCTGGTGTCGTTACTCTGCCCGGGAACGGCAGTGTTCCGCTGAGCGGGGGCAAGCACACTTTGGTACAGCATTTGACATGAGGGAGAAGGGGCAGTATGGGAAAGTGGAGATGGTGTTATGTAGTGAGTAGCAGTTTTGTACTCGATTCTAAGGATTATTTCCGAGTGGTCTTCTGGACTCGGCTGCGTATTCGCCATGCTAAGAACGGTCGGAGATGCAGTCTATGAGCAGTACGCGCACGGTGGCATTGATGCGAAGACATGGTCATTCCTTATACAAGGTACGGTGAAAAGCTACAACGAAGCAGATACAGATTCCATTTGATCCTCCTTCAAGCTAATCAGGCTTGTGGGGTTCCAAGTATCAAGGCTTTTGAGGCAATCCTGTGCTGCAATAATCAAATTTAGCATTTGATACCAGCCGAGCCACACAAAACCTGTCATCCCTGTGAGCGGCACCAAACTGTTGATTTGATGGGATGCCACACGAAGTCACAGGTATATAGTCACCACGGTAAGCATTGTGGCTTGCTGCCGAAGCGGTCTGCTCGGAGCATTTTTGACCGGGATGGTATCCGAGCTGCTGCTCCGGAAGGTTTCTGACCCGGACATTGGTACCCGCTGTGGCACAGGCCAAATCTGACCGGGTCCATTTTGACCGGGACCCGTATCCGATTCGACCTACACAGCCGGACACTTTGGTTGAAAATATTTGAATGCCCCTTGAAGTCAAAACGTCAAATCACACTAGTCAGAATTTGTGACATTTTTTTGTTTTAAAAAAGCGACAAAATGACTTCTTGTGCAAAGATTTGATTGGGGAAAGTCAGAAATTGTTATGAGCAAATGCACGTGATCTACTCGTGACTACCACGTCATCCGTGGTTCAGCCATCCTCGGGCTCACATTCCGGTTCCTCCCGGTCCCTTGGTAGATACTGTATTATATATCATACTATGCAATAATGCAAGGATTTTATTGTTCTATCTAAAGCTGCATACACCCTGAAGTTTCTAGATATATGTATGGCCCACAATACTCCAGACACGGGATACCTATCTGTCCTCACAAACATTCCCCAACAGCCAATATATGTAAGTGAACAAAGAGATTGGAGCAGCAAGGATGCACTCACCCAATCTAAGCAGTCTAGTCAGATGTCTACGGAGGTACACCTAAGGAATGGCAGTCCTCAGTAAGGGAACATACACAGTTATAACTTGGTGCAGTGGCCCGGGCGAACCATACTGTATAATAGGCAGCGCGAGGAGAAGAAATGATGACTTACGCGCGAGAGACAAAGCTGTGCGAGTGCAAGCAACGAGAGCGGAGGAGCATGACACAGTGATGTGCCGGTCGACGACTAGTCGACCAAAGTCAACAAAGTCGACAAGTCGTCGACTAGTCGACAACAGTCCACGGTCGACCGTGAGAATAGTCGACCGGACTGATGCGTGGAGGCGTGAGCCAATCGCTGACCAGGAAAAGATGTCCCTGGCCTGGCCCTGGCCAGTCTTCTCGGCTTTTGCCTTCGGGGGAAACCGCTGCATGTTGCTCAGAGCTTCTCGTATACCGTGGGACAGTCGACAACGCCGTGGGACAGTCGACAAGACTTACGGTCGACGCGCCGGACTGTCGACTAGTCGACAAGTCGACGGGTGGACTGCACGGACTAGTCGTCGACCGGCACAACACTGGCATGACAGGTCAAGGGAATGGACCTGGAGAGGGCGAGGAGAGGGCGAAAGATCGCGGTGGTTGAAAAACAAGAGAGGGCGAAGAGAAAATTTCGTTGAAGTCCGACTTGAACCGTGGGAGCGAGCGGCACACCGGCAACACCACATATGACGCGAGACCTGGCGGCAAGCTCTCGTGCCGATAAGTGATAGTCAGAATTTGAGAGGGGGAACCAATCGTGCAAATATTTGACCAGGAGTGTTGAAATATTCTTCAAAACCACCAAGGTGAAATATTTTTACATGACTACTGAAAATTTGTCAACAGCAGAGTTGCAGAATTCCCTGCTTGACCCGTTTGCAGCTTTCTGTCAGAATTCCGGCTGGCCGTGTACCTAGGTATAGGGGTCCTGGGTGAGTTTGTTGCCCCAATTTGTACCGATATAATGACATAGAAAGACCATATGGAAGAGGAGATAATGAAGTCAGAATAAAACAGAAAGTGGAATAAATGAGACAAGTCCGGAATGCCCCTCCTTTGGGAGTGGGAGGGGTTCTGGCACCCCAACATGCGGACCACTTTTCGACCGACCGGCACATCCCGGCGTGCCAAATGTACACATGGAATGTCTCTTGAACTGCCCATTAATATTGTAGGATTCCATTGGACCTCCCGGACCTGGAAACTCACCCAGCCCGATTAACAGCATGCGAACTGACTATGACTCAAGGTGTTAACATTGATCTCAATATGCTATGATAAAATAATGGGTATGGAATAGTACTCAAGCTCAACTTATACTCAAAGGAGGGATAAGCTGCCGACAGCCGTGGGCGCTTCTCGAGTAGGGAAACGGCTAAATAATAGCAATCAGTGTCCCAACACGCGCTCCCACGGAGTCGCAGGCACCCCGCCGTCCTCAGGCCTCGTTGACAATGCAGACCGACAAGCCGAATCTGTTCCACGTCCACCGCAAAGTGCTATCCGGAGTCGACGACCTCACCGTCCACTCCGCCGAGCTCGCCATCCCCCGCGCACACGCCGTATCCATCTCCGCCGATCGCGCCGACGTGCTCCTGCAGCACCTCCCCGCCGTCTGTGCCGACGCCTCCCGCGCCCTCTCCGCGCAGCACGTTCTGCACCCCGTTGTGCTCGCCGTCAACAGCGGACAGCTCCGCACCTACGACATCCTCGGCGAGCTATCCCCGCGCAGCGCCGCCCTCCTCGCCCTCCCGTCCGCCCCGCAGCCCGCGCGCGCTACACACACGCCCGCAAACGCCCACGTCCACTACCGCCTCCCGCCGCACCGCGTGCTCTCCCTCCTCGCCGACATCGAGGACAGCTTCAACGACGCCGCCCGGATCGCCGTCCAGGTGCTCGAGTGTCAGTCAGTCTCGCCCCGCAAACCCCTCTCCCGTTTGCCTGCACAGCTACTAACATGCACCCAGGCCTCGAGGTCCTCCGCCACGTCGACACCGCGAACAGCCGCCTCGACTTCAGCAACATGCACGGCGGCGTCGACCTCAACACCATGCTCGGCGCCCGGGGCGACGGCGGCCTCGCCGGCTTCCTCCTCGACTACGAGCACGCGACCGAGTACCGCCTGCGTGCGCTCCCACTCGTCGATGTGCGCAAGTCCCATCAGCAATCTCGGATCTCTCCGTCCGTGCGATATGGACGTGTGCGGAGCCATGGAGCCAAGGAGATGGACCCCCATTTTCCTGAAACAGCGGTCTCTGGGTACGATCTCGTGGAGTCTCGGTCTCCATCCTGATCGACTGTCTCCTGGCAGAGACTCATTCGCGCCCGGGGGTCTCTCACTGCGGGAGTTGCAGTCTTTAGGGGCGGGCAAAAGATTGTACGAAAGGGAATTCTGCGGGCTCTGATTGGCTGGAAATTACCATTCATACAATCTTCTGCCTGGCCCTAAATACTGCAATTCCCAAAGCGTGCACCATTTACTGACATATGGTGGGGTTTTCTCCACCAGCTTTCACAAGTTGTTTTATCTCCTCATAGGCTTGAGTGTGCCCCTGATCAGGTGATTTGCTCTCTGGACCAGACCATGTTAGGTTTGAAATAAGACCTTGCATTACAGTAGAGGCTACGGGATCTAAATACTGACTGGAAAAAGTTTGATTCATAGAGGCCAGACATACAAATCAGATCAGATTCAGAGTAGATTAAAAAAGCAGTATTTCTGGTATGCTGAATGACAGGTAATAAGCTATGTCACCCAGCTACAGAAAGATTGCAATGAATGTGGCCAACTTGAATAGTCTCCACATCCGACTTCATCACACTGGCAAAACGGGAAATCATCTTACAGTGCTTTGCATATGAAGCCGGAAAACGCGCCGCGCAAAATCTTGTTTGTAGTAGCCAAATAATACCATATATAGTAATTGATCACCACACCTCAGGCCGGCGATGTGACCTTTTGTCACCTTCGATGTCCCATACTCACACCACGCCTGAGTTGCGCAAGCAGGTCATAACATGGCAATATGAACAGGGACGTTCTATTCGTGAAATAAAGGACCTTTCAGGCTATTCTCTCAGCACGATATACAAGGTTCTACGGGTCTACAATATGTATGGAGAAGTTATTGACCCAACGAACCGACCTCGAGGTTGCCCTTGCAAACTCGCCACGGAAGATCTCGACTTCATTCAAGGATTGCTGTGGGAGAATCCAGCAATCTACCTGGATGAAATCCAGGAGGCTCTCGCTGACCAGAGAAGTCTGGATGTCTTGGTGGCCTCCATCTCTCACGCACTCCAGAACATTGCCATCATGCGAAAGAAGATATCAAAAGCTGCACTCAAGCGGAATGAGCTCCTATGCGCAACCTGGCAAGCTCAATGGGGGGATCTCCCTATGGAATCGATCGTGTGGTTGGATGAGTCGAGTGTGGATGATCTGACAAACCAGAGACATATGGGATGGGCCGGATTGGGACAAGCTTGTGTACGTCGTGACACCTTCCTTCGCAGTCAACGTTACTCGGTTTTGCCGGCACTCTCGGTCGAAGGGATTGTTGCACTTGATATCTTTGAAGGCTCTGTCACAAAGGAGCACTTTTTGCGATTCCTACGGTCTGATCTGATATGTTTCTGTTGGGCGGCATCGAGCTACAGAACTGATTCCAAAGGCATGTCAGGCCCCGAAACTCAATCCATACCCAGGGGTCCACGGTGTCGTCATCATGGACAGCTGTTCCATCCATCATGATAAGGACATCCGGAGAGTGGTTGAGGAAGACTGTGGTAAGCATCGAGTGGCATACTTCTCAGACTGAAACTCACCTAGATACTGCAGGTGCGAAGCTCATCTATCTGCCCCCGTACTCCCCCGACATGAATCCCATAGAGCAGGCATTCAGTTTGATAAAGGCATGGTTGCGGCGGCATGAGGCCGAGGCTGTCAATCCGCAGGTTAGGCCGTGGCTGATCCATCAGGCTGCCCTTGCAGTCACGGAGGAAGATGCTATAGGATGGATTACTAATTGTGGATATTCATAAGGGGTACAAAAAATATATCATAATGAATGGGAAGACTATCAGTGTGTAAAGGAGTGATGGATACTTTATCAGAAGGAATACTAGTATAGTGGAAGTTAGAACTTGGGGGAATGATGATACCTGCCGGCTCAAGCTCCAAGGTGGCGACACTTCTCAACAAGCCTGGCATGCCACTCAGTGGCGAACTCCCGAAGCTTCCAGACATCACCCTCGACAGCACCAGTGATGGTGCATAGCCGTTCAACTGGAACCTTGCTGAGGATGTCCGGGCTTAACCTCTTCTCCGCGAGACTCTCCTCGAAGGCCAAAAGATCAACCCCTTGCTTGTCCAGGAAGTTGAGTCAGAGTGGTGTTCAGGAATGGGCAAAAGAGGGGGTGAGGCAATATGGTGATGCTTCGGTGTTGACGGATGTTCACATGCAGATGGACCTGCACCCGGAGTCTGCAAGTTGACCATATTCTGATTCTGCAGCATTGGCATGAATGCCGCCATGAGCAGCATGTTCGGGTCGAAACTGGTTGCTGTAGACTGGGGAACTGAAGACATAGGTCGCGGCCCAGAGCGGCCACGAGCCTTCATGAGTGAGGGCTGGCCATCCCGAACTCCGTTGAACTCGCTTGTGTTCGGGGGAACGCGCTTGGTACACTCATGTGCCACCTGAAATGGGACAGCAACTCCCACGTGGGATAATACTACATCAGGTAGAGATAAACTCACTATAGCAGCTGCCCATATCTTCAGGTGACGGCTATTCAAGCCAATATGACCATTTTCACTCTTGTAGCAATGCCCCGTATCACCATTCTCGCCAAGATGCTCGGTGCACTTGTGAAGGGCCTTCAACTCCATGATGATACCTCCATGGAGCTGCGCCTCATCGGAATACGAGTCGAGGCGCGGGACCTGAGCGTACAGTTAGTACCGGCCAACTATGAAGTGCCTGATCATACCATGGTCCCATCCAGCAATTCATTGTCGTCGTCGGGAGCAATTGCAACTGCGAGAGGCTGCTCACAATCAGATAACCACCTTGTCTCAGAGCCTGACACTCACACATTTACAGATGCAGAAGCCCTCCATATTGTCTGAATTGAGCTCCGCAGTGATGTTGCTTGGCCTCTTCTTGAGAAGAGCACCCACCGTGATCGCGAAGTCATCATCAGTGTCAATCGTAGCCACTGCACTCTTGCTAAGCTGAAGTTGAGCGGGAATCATCGATTTATGGACTGTGAGTACTTACTTTGTACCGGTCCACCACAGCTTGAAGCCTGGCCCTGCATGCGGACTCGCTGCATATTGATCATCAAGGTCATGTGCCTTTAGCATCACAGAGATGAAGTCGGCCCGACGCAGGTCCTCAGAGAATGTGAGGAGCGCATTCTTCGTGAGCTGCATTTTCTTGGTGACGATCTTGCTCCCACGGCTTGACGGTCCCTTCTCCTTGACTGTATACACAAGGGTCACAGCTACAACACTATTTGTTGAGGGCTGGATGAGGCATCAGATAGACACAGAAGTGAATGTTAAAAATTCAGCTCTAGCTGTCGCAGTAGTCCCTCCGGGGCCAGCAGGCATGGCCCTGGCATCAGACCCGACTGCTACGGATGCCGCTACACCGGCATGCACATGTTCGTCTCTCTCCTCGGGTTGGGTCTCAGCCTGCTCGAGTGGACATCCACCGCGCGAAATAGGGTGATGTACATCAGCGTCAGCAGCAGGCATTCACGGTGTACCAATATGGTACGGTAGCGGCTGAGCTTCGACAGCGGCCTCATATGGAGGTGGCAGATGTGCCAGCTCCTGACCATGAAGACGATGACCCTGCCCCGGAGTGGTTGGCGTGAGCGGAACATGCACGGTGTGCACATTCTCAAGAAGCGCTCCCACACTCCGAATGGCAGCAAACACCGCCTGGCGGGTTTGTTCGATCTCCTCATGGGAGTGGTAGAACTGTGTCGGAGTGACTGCACCATCTTGCAAAACAGTTCAGAACCATCACTCTCGTAGGGCAAAAGTAGACTCACCAATCCAACCGCCTCGTTGAAGCCACAGCCTCGACACAGGCCGCGTTTGAGTGCCATTGGGGGCATTTGCCGTGCTTGACTGAGCAGCACACTGTTCCCAGTTCTATTGTAGAGACATGGGGAGGTCAAGAGAAGGAAAGGGGGAACCTGGGTGATCGATGGCCAACTTACAGCTGGATCCTTGTCCTTTTATCCTCCTGCACCTGAGCCATCCTCGCAATGGGCTCCATGGCGCGTCATACAGAGCAACCGGAACTGAATGGGTAGTTGAGCTCAGGCACCACTTGGTGCTCGTCTCGAGGTCAACTGGACGGACAACCATGAACGGCATCCTGGCGAAGTGGAGACATGTATACTGGATGAGCGGTGTAGTACGGATCATTGGCAACCACAGGTATGCTGGCCCTACACTTGGTTCATCGGATCATACTTACAGGTCAGGCGAGAGGCGTGACATAGGTCACAAGACGGCCCAAGGCTCGGTGATGGATTTCCATTTATGGTATTATTTGGCTACTACAAACAAGATTTTGCGCGGCGTGTTTTCCGGCTTCATATGCAAAGCACTGTAGAGCATCTTATGTGTCTTAGCAAGACGTCTAAGACATAAAAGAGATTAGATCTAAGAGCCTGTTTTCGAGTTCGAAGACGAAAACTCGCGCCCCCTATAGCAACATATGTAGTGCTGCTTTGTTGTATCCAAATCATTAGTCTCCCGAAGTCAGACTGTATTACCTCCCTTATAAGGCAGGTGGAGGGCAGTCGGCATATAACGGTCTGCTTCCAGTCACGCCTGCCTTGGCTGGCTCACTGATTTCAACGTCACGTCAATTGTCTCACGGCCTTGGCCTCTATTCTCTGCTCTACTTTTGCTGCATGTGTTAGGAAGCAATGTCCTAACTAGTCATCTTGAGATAACTGGGCCATGTGCCAACAGTTATGTCGTCACTACCTCAGTAAGCGTACTGAAGGGTAGGTCTGGCCAGGCCAATGCCAATGGTCAAGTCAAGAGTCCAGGTAATCACTGTATTCAACAGGAGGTTGAACTAAGGAATACATGGGTTTTCTACAGTATATATAGTAACTGGTATAGGGGTTAATACCCAAAGAAGAGAACAATAAGAAAGGACGCGTAAGCTATCCTGTGAGAACGTAACTCAGAGAAATGAGAAATACAAGGGTGCCCATTGGTAGAAGGTGAGTCAAGGGAGATAACATGTGAGACGAAGATAGCATCCATGGGAAGTTCTACCCAGAGAAAGGTACTGTCCAATAGCAATGCTCGGAATGGAAATAGAATGAGATAAGCATGGGAAAATCATAACACTAGACAGCCCAGGTCCCAGGCCTGATTAGGCTGGCTCATCTGACCTCCGGTCAAGTCTAACAAGGCTCAGGACTGCTTGTTGATTGACACCAGCAGTTGTACCGGGGCTCGGGGCTGTCTTAGTACAAGTAGTATACTATGTAGTAGTACTGTAATATGGAGTGTCGCTTGAAGCCGCCGTCCATGTCGTCGGGCATTGTCAGCGTTTGCCGGTCCTGCCTAATCGGGCAATCGGAGCGCCTCCCGCCTGCCCCCTCTGACGCTGTCAGTGACACTGACAGCATGCTACAGCGTCACGGCGGTACGAGAAAAATATGCTATATATTTTATCGTGCAAAGTACGCGTAGGGCTACCGAGCACTGCCAGATAAACACCGATTGACATAGTGGTCGTTTCACCTGCCACTCTCCTCATCATTGGTGGTGGCAGCCTGTCGTATACGGGTCCAGTTAAATTCGATACAATTCTAGATAAATCATATTATATTTCTATAGTACGTATAAAACTTGACTACAGAGTATGGAATGTCTACAATGCTATTCTGCGCGGATATACACATGTGTGAAATGTGGCCTAGGAGAAAATAACATATAGATGTTCATAAATGCGCACCTACCTGGAGATACCTGCAGAATACCATTAGGGTAGTTATCATCTGCATAGCCAGTACATTAGAGCATCCGAAAAGCATACAGGACAAAGGGGAACATGCACTTACCGGGTAGGGAAGAGACAGGGGGAATAGGCTGATGTAGCGATCCAGTCAACCTCTAATGGGATGTATTCAGTATATGAGTTATATCTCATAATAGTAGCATACAAATATGAGGAGTTGTCCTTTACCCTGGTGCATATAAAGGGGTAGCAGCATTGGAATGCCTAGATGACACCAGGTGTTCGGGGCTTCTGAGAGTTAATTCAGCCTAGAATCCATGTCATAGAGAGACTACCTTTATGTTACGCCGCTATAAATGAGGCGGATCCATGTCCTGAAAGCCAGAATGAATCTACAAAGTGGAATGAGTAACAAAATAGTCAGAACGACACGCCGGAGGACCATAGACAGCAAGGAAGCTCCAAAAGGTCGTAAACAGCTAATAGAGTGGTATACTACCTGCAGAACCAACATAAATTAGAGGCACCCAGATACGGAGGAATGAAGATGAAGACAACTAACCTTCTTCTGGAATCCGGTATTTGCGAGATAACCATAATTTGAGATAGCTCTATCACTTGATTAGGGTACCGGAGAGTGAAGGAAAATGAGCAGAATAAGATAAAGCTAAAATATAGTAGGTGAGAGAGGAAGACACGCGCGAAGGGGGTCGAAATATGAGCTGTGCGGTCTTCAGCCACCGCACACAGCAAGCGCATTCTGTCCGAACGAAATCGGACGTCCTTCGTACCGTGACATACAATGTGACATCTCCTTGACTCTACACTCCTCTGTCTCTATGGCCCCTCGGACTACTTGTGAGCTCTCATATTGTCTCTTACCTCTTTCTTGAAACAGTGAGGGACTTCTGCTCAATTTACTGCGAAAAACTGCGCCCGACCAAGGGTATGAGGGCGGTTCTCAGATCTCAGTCACATCCGGTATGTTTCTCAGCTTTATGACTGTCTCTGCATATCCTAATCCTTTCATTGAGTCTTATATAGCTTCTGGTGCATTTATAACTGCATATGAAACTGTTATCGGACCTATTCGTGCGTTTTCCGTGCCCTAGGCCTCGATGTATCTGAATAGTGTGCTGTTAGCACTCGGCACCATCCTACTTCAACAGAGCCTCTCTCTGCCAAAGGTATAATTTCATGCTGGAAGGGAATGCACCTGGTAAGGCTGGGGTAACTCAGTTCCACTATCTTCTTTCGTTGTGGCGAGTAATCTAGTTAATCCCCTCACAGTGTATTCGGGTTATGAGCCTTCCTGGAATTATGGTTATAGTAATTATAGGCTGTTTCTATCTTATACGAACTGCTTATGGTTAATCTATCTGACTTGAGGCCCTTGGGACCGCTTCATCGATTTGTTTACCCGAATCGCTTCCCTACCCAATAAGTGCATGTTCCCCTTTGTTCTGTATGCTTCGCTGATGGTCTAACATGTTGGCTATGCAGAATGTAACTACCTGAATGGTATCCCACTGGTATAACCAGGCAAGTGCGCATTCACTGGCCTCAATATCTTATTCTCTCATGTGCCACACTTGCCACATGGGTATATTCGGGCCGAATCATAATGTAGACGTATCAGACTCTGTAATGAAGTTTTACATTGACATGAAAAATATAATATGATTTATCCAGAATGTTTGCGAATTTAAGTGGGCCAGTATACGACAGGCTACTCCGCCGCCGCCGCCAACGACGAGGAGAGTGGCGCGTGACAACCACGGTGTCATTCCGCGTCACACCTGCGGCGCTCGGTAGCCCACTACGTACATTACACCAAACAATATATAGCCCATTATAGTCCCGCTGCAGTGACGCTGTAGCACGCTGTCACTGACGACGTCGGGGAGGGCGGGAGGCGCTCCGATTGCCCGATTGGGTAGATCGGCAAGCGCCGACGATGTCCGACGACGTAGGCGGCGGCTTCGAGCAACACTCTATAGTATAGTACTAATACATAGTATACTAGTTCTACTAAGGCAGCACCAAGCCCCGGTACGACCGCTGGTGTCAATCGACGAGCAATCCTGAGCCTTGTTAGGCTTGACCGGGGGTCAGATGAGCCAGCCTAATTAGGCCTGGGACCTGGGCTGTCTAGGTGCACGATGCAGACTACCAAATCATTTCTATTCTAGTGGACTGTCAGACTGCCAAGTATCCGGGTGCACTGAATAGCTATAACTCGTGCTACCGAAGGTCATATTTAAGCCTTAAGACGATAAGACGCTGTAAGACGCCTAAGACGTAAGACGTTTTCCGGCTTTCCCGATGCACTGTGGCTTTGAACGTTAACCTTTCAAGCCTACTTCCACTTGTCATTTCTTCCATGGCAGAGCAGCTAGCTGACAAATTACTGTCGGACGTGATTAGCTCGGTGCAGACGTACAATCGAAAATTCACGGATACCCTTGACATTGCCCTCGTTCTTCGTCGGGCGTCTATTCTCACACAGTGGTACCGTATGCCACAACGGCGAGCTCACACTATTGACAGTTTTCCGTCTAAAGCTCGTCTCTACCGTTCTGCTCGGCGCGCTGACACCCTACATGCTCAGACACGCGAGACTGTTACCTGCGCCCGCCCTTCGGCGATAGCGAATTGCTCCAAGGGGCAGAGATATCAAGTTTAAGGAGAGCTGTCGTCAGGCACGTTTACCGCTTTGCTAGCATGAGCAGTAAAAGGGCTGCGTCGCCGCCCCTCTCCTTACCGACTTATTCGCCCTCGTTTTCCTGACGGTCTCCTTAATTCGACATCCCACCCGACTGCTTGCGATGCGCCCGACTAGCCCCTACGAGCTCCTGCATTACAACATGGTACACGGTGCGCCCCTCTCCTGTATGTCCTGCTCTTCTTGTCTCTGACGAGAGCACATACGGCAGCGCACGATACTTTAAAAATGGGCTACGACAACATTCTCGCGCACCTTGACGACCCGCCGCTCGCAGACCTCCCAAACTTCATGGGGTACTGCCACGCGTGGGCCGTGTCCATCGCGAGCCACCACGACAGCGAGGAAGCAGTCGTCTTCCCCATCCTCAATACGAAGCTCGACTTTTCGCGCGAGATCGCACAGCACAAGGTCATCCACGAGCGTCTCGACGCGCTCCTCGCCTTCATCGCCTCCGCCAAAGCCGACCCGTCGAAATTCGACGCTGCGAAGATGCGCGAGATGATGTTCGCGTTCAAGGACCCACTGGTGCGCCTGACATCCCACTCCACACCCTTTCGCGACGGCATGTCCTGACCCTGAGCGCGTTAACCCGGCAGTTCCAACACCTGGACGACGAAGTCTCCCACATCACGTCCGACAAAATGACGGTATTCTCGAAAGAAGAGGTGCTCGATCTGGACGCGCATCTCGAGGCGTACGCCAAAACGCACGGCGACCCCTTCCTCCTCGTGCCCTTCATGCGCAGCCACACTCCGCCCGAACTGAAGGACACGTGGCCCGTGATGTCCTGGGTGCTGCGACGCGTCGTCGTGCCGTGGGTGCTCGCGGTGCGGCATTCTGGGTGAGCGGGTCTTTGAATTGTCCTATGTCCATGCGCTCACGCCATTGGCATTGTGCGCAGCTATTGGAAGTATTCGCCCTATGGCATGTCATAGTATAGACCCCTCTCCGCGAAATCTGTTTCTCCATCTTCCTCGAGTTATTTGATATCGAATGCCAGGGTAATCACGATTTGTGTGTCTTCTTACCCCGAGTTGCCCGCCCCGGCGTTGAAGGCCTCGGTCCGCCAGTTCTGCAATCATGGTGGCGTGATCCTGGTATGTGTAGATCGCCGTGAGCCTTGCATGAACTCTAATCGTGACGAGAACGGATATGAGGTGAAGATCGCGTCTTCTTCCCGCTGAAGGAACCATGCCCATCGGCGCGGCAGTTCGAGCACCTATGTAGGACAAGGTGCCCAGACATCTCCTGGACCGGTCCTCCGGTGCAGTGGAAGTGAAAATCGCCCCTTCTCCCGCTGGGGGAGAGAGAGACAGTCACTGTATCACCAGTTCGCTAGTCACACTCCTGGGATCTCGTCCAACTTGAAGTGCGAGGCTGATCGTGATTCGTCTGCAACCCGACAATCCGCACAATCAGAATAAGTATGCAACAATACCATTGTGGATAGTCCGTCGAGTCAACATGTGACACAAGTCCGCCGCCGGCCGCACGATGCATCATACGAGCCCAACATAAATCATCCACCCCATCCTCCGATACCCCATCATCGCTCTGCACACGTCCGTACCAACACCAACCCCACAAATACAGCACCCGAAATCAACTTGACAGCGCGCAGCGCATTGGAAGGCCGTAGGACGGGGGTGATCAAGTCCCCGTCGGCGAGAGGGTCGGACTCTCGCCACCTCGGCTGGCGTCGTCGTTCTCGTTGTATGGCTCTCGAGAGTTGATTCTTGACGTTGCTGATTCTCAGGCGATCGGGTCGGGTGATGCTGTAGGATCGGGGTGGCCATTTGTGGTTTGTGGCTCGCCCGCTTCTGCGAGAACTGGGGGGGTGACTAGGAGGGATAGATCAGTACGAGCCGAGCAAGGACGTTCGAGCCACGCGCACTGATGGTAACGAGAGACGCTTCAGAAGGATATTGAGGGCGAGGCTGCGGCGGCGACTGCGATCGTGTAAATCAGTACCTATGTCCCCACCGACACCTGCACGAGCGGGTACGCACCTTGGATATAGAACTGTAACATCGACTCTCGGGGTCCACACGAGACAAGGCTCTACCGATTATCCCCAAGACCCAGAGAAAGAAACAGAGACAGACAGAGAAGGAGAAAGAGAAGAGCGGCGGACATGCGAGGCCCGATTACAAGGATGAGGGATAATACTAGACAGACATAAGAATCTTGCGTGTTTTTCGTTTTCTTGATTTTTTTTTTCGTTTCTTCGTCTTCTCTTATTGCCATCACCTCGGGCTAATCATCAGCACCCGCGAGGCTGTCCAGCGAGCCGACGGAGAAGAAGCCCGAGTCGTCGTCCGAGAAGACGGGCGCCTTGCTATCGTCCGCGGGGAACAGGACCGCGGCGTATTCGTACTCAGACTCAGGCACGGGTTCCTCAGTGGTGGTGACGGGAGGCACGGAAGTTACAGAGAGGACGGCGGCAGCGCCGTCGACGCTGTCGCACGATCCGATCGAGAATATCGCAGAGTCCTCCGGAACAGGAAGAGGCGCAGACTCCTCGGAGGCAGGGACAGAAGCAGGCATAGTCTTTGGGGAGTAGTCCCACAGAGGCTGAGTCGTGGCCTGAGGGGCGGGACCTACGGCGGGAGGAATGAGAGCGAACATAGCCCTGGCAAGTTCCCTGAGCTCGTTCATCCTGCTCTCTTCGCGCTGCTCCCAGTTGACGGTCGGCGCGAGGGCCTCCGCGGGCAAGCTGAATCGCCGACTAGTGTTGGGCTCCCTGCGCGTAGTCGGCGCGGGCCTGCGGACGGGCACGCTCCGCGCCCGGGTGGTAGTCAGCATCCGCTGAAAGTCCGCTTTCTTGAGAAAAGTGGCGTCCGCGGGGAGTACGAAAGGCTTCTTTCCAATGACAGTAACAGTGCTTTCGGCTGCCCTATCAGCGAGCCAGAACGGCGTGGGGGTCGGCGTCGTCTTGGGCTCGGTCCACTGAGACACCAGCGTCGGGAGAACAGGGATCGGCACGTAGACATCAGGAGCGGGGGTTGCAGCGGCGATCCACCCGCACAGGGAGTCCATCTTCTCCTCGCTGTTCCGCTTGCGCGCGCGGTCTTCCTTATTGTCGGGCGGGGCCTGAGTGGCTGCCTCGCATATAACGTCGCTCTGGACCTTCGCACAATCGGGTATAGCTTCCCAGGAATCATACATACGCTTTAAACCGCTGGTGAAAGACACGAGGAACCATGGAGTCTGAGAGGGTTTCCAGCGGATGTTGAGGAGCCACGGTTCCGGGATGCGGGGGCGATGGCCGACGAGGGGGTGCCAGGAGGTTGAGACTGGGAGGTCGGTGCCAGAGGGAGAGGTTAATAGGAGAGCAGGAGTGTCCTCGAGAAAATCGGTGATGGAGTACTTGACGTCCGTCAGCCGCAGGGCGCATTTGAAGGCCTGTAGACGCGGAGTCAGTGGGATGCTAGTGGAGGTGGCCACAATGCTTACCCCTCGCTTGAAACAATCCTTAATGCAGTCAATCCAGGGAAATGACTGGTTAATCTACCGTTAGTAAATGGGGTCATTGGCACTGAGCTGACCACTTACCGAGACTGAGTTGTTATTGTCCTCGATGTCCGTCGAGAACAGGTCAGGGATTCGGTGGTAACCGGAGAAGACATTCCGAACAATAGGAATCACGTAGTAGCCAGAGACAAAGCCAAGAGCCGCCAGTAGAGTCATAACGATAAAGATGAGAGCCCAAGGGTGGAAGAGAATGGCGAAGTCCATGGCGGCGACTCGATTGGCGAATGGGATGTGGGGGTATGAGATGGTGGTACAGAACTGGGAAGATTGAAAGCGTACCACCATCTTTTATACGCCTGAAGTTAGAGGCTGACGCTGGCTGACTGTCAGCCATGCAGCGGTCGGCGTGGTTATTCCATCTGTCTTGGTTACCAGTCCAGATACTGATTAGTGTCACCGAATATCGTTGGTAGAAGCAGCAATATTTCCTGCTTATCCTCTGAGTCCAATAACCTGCGCACTAGGCAGTCTCAGAATATGCACACGGGGTGCTGCAGTAATGTCTAGCGGGACATGTACTTACACAGCGTACTCGAGTCGACTCGGCGAATTGCGATTGATATCAGTGGCTGTGCTGCGTACATGCCTATGGCAGTGGCTGCGAGTCCTTTGTTCTTCTCCTTCAAAGGCCCGGCGAGGCCACCGAGTCTCACGCGCCGAGATTTCTCTCTTCTCCGTCTGAAGATTGAATTTCTGCCGACAAACATTATGCCACACCAAATCACCGAATTCCGGGTACACACGACTCAACTCCCGCTAGCCGGCGGCGGAGGGAAAGCCATTTCTTATGCTACCCTGTTTGATGAAAGCAGAAACGACACCGACCAAGCAAAGGACACCGAGACGCTCTTGAGGCACCATCCCGCTATCTGCGCCGACGCCACTCGGCTGTCAGCGCAGCATGCTCTCCACCCGGTCGGGGTGGCCCTGAACGGCGCAGGGGAAATTGGACTCTACGACATCCTGGGCGAGCTCTCGTCAGACAGCGAGGCACTGTCGGATCTCTCATCCATCAACGAGGTGTCCCTGGAGGGGCGCTGGACTCGGGCGGAACATGAGCCCCATCTCCCGAACGAGACCTACATCCACTACCGTCTCCCGGTGTACCGCCCGCTCTCGAAGTTCGCCGACGTCTCGCGCAGCGCCAGGGACATCGTCGGAGTGGTATTGCAGGGCATCGTATGTTAGTCTCTCCATTTCATTTCAGCCCCTTCGCGAGCAACACTCACGCCACCCACGTCCCCCAGGGCACGCGGACCTTTACGAATCCGGCGAGCTCCACCGCAGGCTCGACCTCAACACCATCCTCGGCGCGCCGGGTCTCTCGGGCGAGATGGAGGTGGCCGGCTTCCTCTTCGACTACGAGCCCGCCAATGAGTATCGGCTGAAAGCGTTCCCGCTCGCTGACGTGAGGCGTCTCGTAGCTGGGCTGGATCTCCCCGAAGAGCAGCTGGTGGAGGTGATGGCGGGGCTGTCTCTCGCCAGTGGCGCACTTGGAATGTAGAGGGAACGAAACACTCAACTGTGAGATTGGGCGGAAAAATCTTGGATAGCTGTAAAATGTACCACGTTCTCGCCTGCATATCCGTTGCTATATCAGTGTACAACTCAGCACGCCTCTCCTCAGACATGCCGCCATACCGATGTGGCTGGATGTGGCTTTCGGCTTTGATCCAACGAGATCGGATATGCGCTGTTGATGGTGGCTGTGGCCGGATGCTTTCCCCACCAAGTCTGATTTTGATTCGACGTGCACTGCACTCCCGAGACCGGCAGTCGACTGTTCAGCCATTTCCAACGCAATGACTCACAAATATAGGGGAAGATAGCATAACATTAGTTTTGTATACTTCTGTAAGCACAACATCTAATGTGCTTCCCGTCTCCGGGGCGTCGCCCGCAGGATATCATCCACCCTATGATTCAACCGACATCAGCAGTACGTGACAATGGAAGAAATGTCTGCTTACCGCAAAATCATCTCCGCAGCCTCGCTCGCGCTAAGCACGACCTGCCGCTTGAGCTTATAACTCTCCGTAATACCCAACTCCGCCATGGATCCGATCGTGCCCTGGTTCATATCTAATCCGCTCGTCAGCCTTCCTCCGAAGCACAAGGCCCCAAAACAGAACTCACCCAGCCCCGCATCCGCCTTGCCCTCATAATGCGCCGCCCTCAACCGCGCAACGAGGTCGCTCGAGTCGTACCCCGCATTATCCGCGAGGATCGTCGGGATCTGGCGGAGCGCGCGCGCAAACGCCTCGACCGCGACCGCCTTCTTGCCCTTCGTGCGCCGCGCCTCCTCGTCGGCCGCGCAGCTCATGAGCATCTCCGCACACCCGCCGCCGAGCGCCACGCGCGTCTCCTTCACCGTCTGCGAGAGCACCGACAGCGCGTCGTGCAGCGAGCGCTCCGCCTCGTCGATCATCTGGTTCGTCGACCCGCGCAGCACGACCGTGCAGGCCTCGCCCGCGGCGACGCCGGAGAACCTGATCAGCTATTCGGGGGGGCCGTCAACATATTCGCCTGTGGATCATATAAAGCGTAGAGCATTGGCGTACCTTGTCCTCCCCGATCATGATCTCCTCGATGAGCTCGCACCGCCCGAGCTTGACGAGGTCCGGCCGGTCGAATGTGCTCGCAATCTCGCCGCCCGTGACGAGCGAGAGCCGCTCGACGCCCTCAAAGTCCGCGTGCTCGATCACCATGATGCCCTTCTCCGTGAGCAGCTGCTCGGGGTAGTTGTAGATCAGCTGGCGGTTGATGAAACAGTTGATGCCGTGCGCGGCGATCGCGTCGACCTTGGCTTTCATTTTTTCCTGGAGGTGCGCGAGGTTAGGGAAAAGGGGCAGGCAGGGGGGGTGGATGGACGTACCCGCTCCGCGCGTTCGAGCTCCGCAAGCTTACCCGTGCTGTCGACCTTGACGCGCGCGCCGAAGATTTTGATTTTGTCGGTGTCCATCGCTGTAGGTCAGGGATGAGTACCATCAGACAGGGAAGTAAGGGGGGTGCGTACAGGTGTTGGCGATCAGGATTTTGGCGTTCTCCATTCGTTTTGGGCTGTTCACAGCGATTGTCTTATCCAGGATGAACCCTGGATTACGAGTGAGGGTCATAGACGGATGCAGTGAGGCGCGGGCTTACCTTCATCGAGGTAGGAGTCTGTTAGCTTGCCGCCTGCTTTCTTGATTATTTGTATGTGGTCAAGATCTGTTGAGCCCTGGATATAATTCAGCTCGTGATCTTGAGTGACCCCGATTGCAATCCCTGTTTACCTTTAGTCGTAAGACCGCGTCGACTGCAAGATTAGCAAAGTAGTCCTTGTCCTGTGATAGGACTTTCGATGAAAGGGTCGTCCGAGCAATGTTCAGCAGATCTTGTCGGAATTTTAAGGGATCCGCACTGAGCAAGACCCTTGGCATTTGCAACTATTCATTGGACGCAAGTAGAAACGCACCTGTTGTCCACCGCAGACTTCTCCAGCGCCTTCAAGGCAGCAGCGCTCGCAATCCGATACCCCTCCACAATCGTCTGGGGATGTACTCGCTGATTGACCAGCTTCTCCGCTTCCCTCAGCAGCTCCGCGGCCAACACGCACACGCTCGTCGTTCCGTCCCCGACCTCGTCATCTTGCACCTTCGAGATATTGACCAGGATCTTCGCGGCGGGGTTATCTAGCTGGATCGCCTTGAGGATCGTCGCACCGTCGTTCGTCACGTTGATGTCGCCCGTCGACGCGGACTGCAGGATTTTGTTCATGCCCTTGGGCCCGAGCGTGGACTTGACGAGGTCGCCGAGAGCCATGGCCCCTACGAAGGAGGACAGACGCGCATTCTCCGCCTTCTCCTCTGTTGCCTAGCCTCAAGTAAGTGGAGAATTCATATACTTTGTCGTGTATAACGCACCTCTTGGCCGAAAATATTCATAGACATGTCGTGGTATTCGCGGGACGCGTGAAGCAGCGCAAGTCCAATGCCTCGAAATTGATCCAAGTCTGTCGGCGTTTGCCGATTCTGGCATGCACTCGTTCAGACGGCTCGTGTGTTATGCGTTTATGGTCGACGACGACGGGGGCGACAGCGCTGGAAGCTCTGTGTATGATGACTTCTACATTTTGAGCTTCCACTGAAGGCACGATATCACAGCTGTGGACCGGACTAGGATGGCGTGTCCGACGAACTGCGCTCGCTGGGCGCTGTGCTTCTAGTACTATGCTACTACTTAGTAGGTCTGGCTTGTCGGCTCGCACTCTTCGTGGGATCTCTTGAGCTACGCGCGCCGATTGCCCATTATTTAAGAAAATCGAATTTGGACGGTTTAGACGGTGAGATGTCCGAACAGTTGACAACGGCGTCCTGCCAGCCACATCCGTCTATCTTGCAATCCTGGACATGGAACCGCCCTTCCGGTCCATCTAGCTCTAGGTCCCACTGTTTTCGTTCTGCTCTTTGTGTGTTTCCTCCCTCAAATACTTCAAGACCCAACCAAGTGTCCCATAAGACCGCCTCTGACCTTTACCTGCTTCACTGGACTGCTATGGAGACCACGACTTGCTCTCTCCCGCCGATATCCCACAGTCGCAACAATACCTGGCCCTGGAGCTTCCACTCAGGCTGTCTTCCTTGTTCTCGCGACTGCCCTACTGGTCCATCGCTATCGCCAGAAGATGATTTGACTCGCGTGGAAATCGATGATCTGGACCTCTCTGAATCACTCCAGACAAGGCTCGGGCTTGCGTCAGAGCCTTGCGCGTCCGCGTCAATCGCTGAACCTAGCGGACTAATGGGTACTGAAGGAGAAGGTTGTCTCTTGCCAACTGGTGCCTCTGGTCCATTTTCGAACATTCCCTCCGTGCATACTGCCCAGCTGTCGGCCGCTCCAATTAACGAACAAAGACTGGGACAAGATTGGAGAGACAACGTCGCCCCGGGTTTACTTCTGGCTTTATACGAAGTCCAAGATCGCTTCAAGTCAAAGATGCGAAGGTTATCTGCTATTCCCGCAGACAAGAGAGAAAGCGAGCTTGCTCCCGCCACGCCCAGTTCAGAAGACGTCGTCCCTGAAGGTCATCAGAGTGCCGACGTGGAGGCAGTCACCTTCTACGACAGCTGTGAATCCGGAAGCGATCCTTTCATTTTCGACCGGTACTTCACCCCAGTCGATCCTCCAAATAAGATCCATTGATTCTCAAGGACGGCGACCGTCTCGTCTGCACTGTTGCTCTCTCCCTCTTGAACCATTTGTTACATCGGCCGCTTTCACTCTCGCCCCGACCTGTTGTGCTTCTACACCTGCTATGCGTTGTTCCAATTCATGTCGCTGGAGGGAATATATGTTCTTGGCTCCAGCTCTGGATGGCAGTCTGAGTGACGATTACCTCAAAGGACAGGGCGGTCTGTTCCTTATTTCCTGCACTATCACTATATGCATAGTCTTGTTTCGCCTCTGAATAGCCAGTCTGTTGATCCATGGGAGGGGCCGGCGGGGTTAGTGCAGGCTGTTCGACCGACAATCGCTCTCCGTGAGCGTGCTGGGGTAAGGCCTTCGGGGCTCCGACTTCGTATGACACAGCCAGCAGGCTCGGCGGCCTCACAAAACTGTTCTACTGTATACATTTGTCACAACGGAGTACGAGCGCTGCTCACGTCTCATCGGTTGTCTCCTGCGTGGAAGGGCGCGATGTCGCGGACATCAAATTACCTCGCACTTCCTCTACCTCTGGTAAATGGTTTAGCCGGTTAGTACGCTCGCTTCGTTCACTTGACCTCTTGCTTGATCGACGGGTACGGTCAGATGCCCCTACGGTGCCTATCCCGCCTTGCTGCGAGGATATGTCATTGGGTAAGGCATTCGTCGGCGTCAAAGCTTTATGCGAAGCGGTGAATGAGGGCGATTGGGTACAAAAGGACCGAGAGAAGCATTCAGGTATCGGCTGCTCTTCAACGCTAGTGCTCTTGAACGTGTCTTCTCTTGAGGACGACCTCCGCCATGGCCTCTTTTCTCCCGACTGGAAAGCCCCTGGTTTACCTGATTACCGTGACATGTTCTGCCGGTTTCCTCAACTTTGGTTACGGTAAAGATACACCCGCCGTCCTTCGGTGTAAGTTCGTGCCTGACTGTTCTTGCAGACCAGGGTGTATTCGCGGGCTCTCTGGTGTCCCATTACTACCTTACCACGTTCGGGCCAAACCCGGAGACGCCGCCTGATGCGTCAACTCAAGGAACAACGAGCGCGTTGTTCGATATCGGCGGAGCGGTGGGCGCGCTCGCCGTAATGTTCATCGGTGCGATCCTTGGTAGAAGACGGACAATTCAGGTCGGATGGTACGTCTACCGTTCCGCTCTTATTCATGGTCACCGCTGTTCATGTATTGATACGTCTCTCGTACGTCAGTGTCCTAGTCGTCGTCGGCGCGATACTCCAAGCGACAAGCAGCACGCTAGGGCAGTTAATTGCTGGACGGTAAGCCTATGAGTTTGTTCCATTGAACAGACGGCTGATAGCGTGATGAATTGTCGTACAGGCTTGTCACGGGTCTTGGAGTCGGTATACAGGTATGTCATCGCGACGTGTGACGCACTCGACTGTTGAATGACATGACGAAGACAACCACTGTACCCAACTACTTAGCCGAGTGTACCCCGGCTGCCAGCCGTGGAGCTCATATGGCCATAGAGATCTGTTTCTGTGCCCTCGGGCTTTTCTTAGCGCAGGTACGACTGGTTATTCTGCCCCGTCCTGCGGTTCATATATACCCTTACCCCAGTGGATCAACTACTCACAAGCAGACTCCGAATCTCATTTCGCGTTCTCCTTCCCACTAGCCTTCCAAGTCGTATTTGTAGTCTTCACCGGATTCTTTTGTTTCGTCTTACCAGAGTCTCCTCGATGGCTCGTCTCCAAAGGACGTATAGAGGAAGCGGAACAGGTGGTCATGCGACTGCTGGGCGAAGGAGCTACATCGGAGACGCCAGAAGTTAGGCAAATGATGACCGAGATGATAGGTCCGTCCATGTCTACATGTGTGTATCAGCATGGACGCTTGACCCATAAACGCAGAGGCTGAGGAGCTGGAGACTCGGGGCGGTGCAAAAAACAGGTTTAAGCAGCTGTTCACGAGTGGCCCGACCCAGAATGCCAGACGCGTCGGACTTGCTTGCCTCGTTGCCATCGGACAGCAAGCTACTGGTGTCAACGCGTACGTGAACCAGATACATTTCCTTGCTGATGCATACTTAGGCGTTCTGTAGTGTCACATATTATGTCCCTACTCTACTCCAGAAGTACTTGAAGGTCGGGAGACATGGCAGCCGTACGTCTTCTAGACAATCATTACTTTACCGTGTCGCTCATTAGCTCATTGTAGTATTGATCGGAGTATGTATCTATCTCTATCCCTGCGAGGGAAACATTCCATTGACGCGTCTGATATTATGCAGGGCTTCTTCTCCGTCGTTTCTTTCGTCTTCACCCTTCCCACTATCGTTCTTATCGATAAGATTGGACGGATTGCGCTCTTCATCATTGGCTGCGCTATACAGGTGAGAAGCTGCCGTATAGCAGGTTTTCCCATACTAATATATCTCGCACTGATAGGCCATTTGCTGGATCATCATTGCAGCGCTGATCCCGACAGCTCCAGAGGGATCGAGCGTCTTCGGCGGTGTCATTGTGGCGTTTATCTTCGTCTTTTTCGCATCTTACAGGTATGTCTCATAATAGTCTAACTGTGGAGCGTGTTCGCCGAACACGATGCAGTACCTGCTGGCTAGCCACGTCGTGGGCGTATGGCGCAGAGGTCCTACCGTTGAATATCCGGTCCGACGGTTCGTGATAATTTAGGCTTTATTGCTCCTGGACCCTAAGCTGTTCTCGCAGGACTCGGGTTCGCCGGTGTATGGGTGTGGTGAGTTTTGTTGCGTGGACTGCAGTTGCATGGATGAGTTAAGTACCTCTATCAGGTTCTTCAACTTCGTAATCGTCGAGTGGACACCGTCGGCTATCGAGGATGTGAGTATCATGCTAAATTTACTCGCCTTTGGAGCCGCGTCTGACGCCAAGCCTCATTGTTCTAGATCGGATACAGTATGTTACTTCGGCACCATTAGTCGAACTCTCAAGCTGATCGGACACTCCTTGTCCAGAATACTACATTATCCTGGCTGTCTTCAATGTTGCCATGATCCCGATATTCTACTTCTTCGCGCCCGAGACGAGAGGAAAAACCCTGGAGCAGATGGACTTCTACTTTGCGTCGAAGTATGGTGGACAGGCCGCTTTGGAGGCTGTGGAGGCTGAGCACCGAGTCCAGGATAAGAACGGTAGTGTGCGGACGGAGGAGCTGGAGAAGGTCTCTGATCCTGCCTAACTTGGCGGTTGTAACACCTGGGGTCAATGGAAGCTTTATGAATGCTAATTGTTCGTCCATGATGACCGTGTAGGTTATGCAGAAATGACCAGATGATATTTCATTTACTGTCAAGGCTCTCTTTGATCGCTCACTTTCTTCGCCCCGATTACCAGCTCAACGAAAAGGGCACATAGTACGCAAGTTCGACGCGTCGCGTCATTGAAATCGCATTGATTCCGAGGACAGCCACCATCATGGAAGCTAGCTTTCGATCTCTTTCATCTCCTGCTGTCATAACAGAGGCTTCCTTAAACCTCGATGCCTATGCGACATGCTGCCAGTGGTTCCTCCTAACTGGATCGTTGGCTAATTAACGGTACAATTAGACAGGTCAAGCGGGGACGGTCTGCCTGGAGGTGAGGATCGGCTCACCTCTTTATTGCCGCGGACCTGAATTACCCCACATTTACCCAGGCCCCGTGATGAATTACCCCGCAATAGTCTCCGTGCATGATTAGAATTCTGCGCGACCGGCTACTTCGCTTTCCTGCTATGGGTCAGATGTCCTCACGCGCTTAACCCACTTCGCTGGTGAGGGAATCGCAACGAACCACGATTGGTCAACATCCTCGTCAGCATCAACGCTTTAGGCGGATACAAATATACTCGACTCAAGGCATTACCTGCTCTGAGGTGCTCAGGACCCCCCGAAGCTTCTTCTAGCCCGCAGTGCACGGTGTAAGGTGTGTCTTCACCCTTAGTATGGCCTCTTTCCTGCCCACTGGAAAGCCATTGGTCTACCTGATTACCATAACCTGCTCCGCGGGTTTCCTCAACTTCGGCTATGGTAAGTGGGCGCTTGCTTGCCTCAATATACATGGATATTTTAGTATGCGTGTACTGATTGATTGCTGCTCATGTAGACCAGGGCGTCTTTGCCGGCTCCCTCGTCTCTCATTACTACCTTACTACATTTGGGCCTGACCCAAACACACCGCCGAATGCGTCCACGCAAGGGACAACCAGCGCGCTGTTTGACATTGGCGGGGCTGTCGGTGCGCTAGCGGTGCTGTTCATCGGCGCGATACTTGGTAGACGACGGGCAATCCAATTGGGATGGTATGTCCCATTGTGGCTAGGCAAGCTGGGGCATCCTGATTTATACACTGAAACCAGCGTACTGGTCACTGTGGGTGCGATACTCCAAGCGACGAGTAGTACGCTGGGTCAATTAATTGCTGGACGGTAAGTCCACCGAATAGAAAACTACCCCATCAAATAACGAATGTCCTATTGGGATATGAAAGCCTTGTCACCGGTGTTGGGGTGGGCATCCAGGTTAGTCTCGGGGAACTACTGATGTTGGGTAGACCGCATCCTAAACGACAACGACATCACACAGACGACCACGGTACCAAACTACCTGGCTGAATGCACTCCAGCAGCCAGTCGTGGCGCGCATATGGCCATCGAGATCTGCATTGCTGCCTTGGGCCTCTTCCTTGCCCAGGTGTGTTTATCCACCCCTCCTACTATCCCCCTGTCTCCCTCCTGAGTCGGCCACTCCTTACAAGTGGATCAACTATTCACAAGCGTACTCTGAGTCCAAATTTGCGTTTGCCTTCCCACTAGCGTTCCAAGTCGTCTTCGCCATCTTCACCGGGTGCTTTTGCTTTGTGCTGCCTGAGTCGCCGAGGTGGCTCGTCTCCCGGGGGCGGGTGCGCGAGGCGGAGGCGGTGGTGCTTAGGCTATTAGGGAATGGGGTGACGCCGGAGACGGAGGAAGTGAGGCATATGATGAAGGAGATGCTAGGTGAGTCATTTTGCTTTGGGCTATTCAAATTCCTCAGGACTTCCTCTCCTACTTGGGCGACGTCCGCAGAGGCGGAGGAGCTGGAGAGCCGCGGGGGCGCCCAGAGCAGGTTCAAGCAGTTGTTTACGAGCGGGCCGACGCAGAATGCTAGGCGGGTAGGGCTTGCGTGCCTCGTAGCTATTGGACAGCAGGCCACGGGCATCAATGCGTGAGTAGCGGTTTGGGCCTGCCAATAGTACCTCCGCCAGCTAAGCTGTGTTGGGTACACCTAGGATCACGTACTACGTCCCGACCTTGCTCGAGACGTACCTGAAAGTGGGGAGACAGGGCAGTCGTAAGTCTTCTCTTCTGATCCGCTGCAAGCTTCGTGTTTTCTGATATCCTCCTTGCAGTGTTAATTGGAGTACGTAATATTCATTCGATGCACATCATGTCTGACACAATCGCGAGTATAGGGCTTCTTCTCCCTCGTTTCCTTCGTGTTCACCCTCCCCACCATCATCCTCATCGACAAGATCGGTCGCATATCTCTCTTCATTATTGGGTGCGTCATCCAGGTGAGTGGGGAGATTAGGATGCGGAGACTAGGATGCGGTTTATTTCTCTTCTATTCGTATTGATAAGTTGTGCGAAAGGCGATTTGCTGGATCATCATCGCGGCGTTGATACCCACGGCGCCAGAGGGGTCGACTGTCTTCGGAGGGGTCATCGTTGCGTTTATTTTTGTTTTCTTCGCATGCTATAGGTATGTCTGTTAGCAGAGTTTCACTCTACCGTCTCTGAACTAGTATGGCTAACTACGTTCGATCGCAGTACCTGTTGGCTAGCTACCTCATGGGGCTATGGTGCGGAAGTTCTACCTCTTAATATCCGGTCTGATGGTGCGCATTACGCCTATTTCCTTCTTCCGTGTCAACATTGAAACACGGCATTGCCAGGGCTTGGGTTCGCCGGGATATGGGTCTGGTAAGTCTCGGGTGCACTTCGGTGCACTTCCAGTGCGAGTGTGATCAACTTCTCTAGGTTCTTCAATTTTGTTATCGTGGAGTGGACACCCACGGCTATTCAAAATGTGAGTGCCTGTCCTGATCTGGATTTACTTCCGTGTTTCTGATGTTTTATTTCCCACAGATCGGATACAGTACGTTCATAGGCACCACCTCAGTGATTTACTTACTCATTATGCTGATGTCATCGCAGAGTACTACATCATCCTGGCGGTCTTTAATGTCGCTATGATACCGATATTCTACTACTGCGCCCCCGAAACGAGGGGGAAGACGCTGGAAGAGATGGATTTCTACTTCGCGTCCAAGTACGGCGGGCAGGCGGATTTGGCGGCTGTGGAGGCGCAGCACCGGGTTCTGGAAAAGGATGTGAACAGCGGTGTAGACGCCCATGGGCGCAAAGTGGGGGAAAAAGATGAAGGTAGTGTACAGGACAAGGAGAGCGTGGGGAAAGGCGGGGGTGTGAGGACAGAGGAGGTGGAAGCTAGTGAAGTGTCCAGTTCCGGCTGAGCTGGCTCCGTTATGGTGCGGTGTGTATACTATGGTGCATACGGTGTAAGATGCTAGTGAGTGTATGTGAGACGGCATAGGAGTCCACGAGAGACTGCCTACTACACAAAACCGTGATTCAATCGCAGCGGCTGATCATGAGTGTCAAAGGGGACAAGAGAATTGATATACCTTTCCTACGTTGGAACTCCTGAAAAGATAGTGGCTTCGACCCGTTCCGGTGCCACTGCGTCTAGCATCTTCAGAAAGAATACTATTGTACATTCCTCTGACGAGAAAGAGAGAACTAGGTGATAACTGCTTCGATGATGGAATCGACGGCTCTCATCTTATGAACCTTCCTAACCGAAAAGCCTGCCTTCTCCAGCAAATGTATCATATCACCTTCAGTCCTGGTGATGCCATTATTGAGGGCTAGCAACTGCATGCTCGTTGCGCGGACAAATCTGCTGGAGTTGGCCTGGAGAAGCATGTCGCAGATTAACAACAGACTGTTGGTGGCCATGGCGTTCCGGACATTGCTCAATATGGTTACAACTTCATCGTCGGTCCAGTCATGTAGGACATGACGGACGACATATGTTGGCTGGCCTTTCGGGATATTCGTGTCCGAAGGGATCGGAGCCAAGAAATCCCCGGCCATGAACGAGACTCGGGAGAGCATCGAGGTCGACTGAGTACTCCACAACTTCGTGAAAACGTCAATGCAGCTTATTGGACGACGAAAACAACCACTAACCTTGGCTGCGTTTTCTGTAGTATTGGGGATATCGAAGATGACAAATTTCAGATGAATATTGCGTTGGTCTTCCAGGAGAGCTAACTCTAAAGATCCGATTCCACCCCCCACGTCGATGATGGGCGAGGTGAGCGTGCTCCATGGATAATCTGTACCACACTATCCAATACGGAGTTCGGTTTCACGGGAAATATACTCCTTACCTATTCCTACATTGCCATTGGACATTCGGTGCAGCTGTTGCATAGCTTTCCCAAGTCGCTGACCGCGCCATGCTTCTTCCGGTTTAGACATCCATTCGAAAATAGGCTCTTGAAACCCGAAAGCCAGGTTAACCGCAGGCAGGCTCTTAACGACCTGTCCGTTTTCATCCTTTCGGATCTTGGCAGAGTCGAGAAGGCGAGACGCCGCCCTGAAGCCCTCGTCGCCTCTGCCGTAGCAAAAGCCCGTTAGCTGGTATCTGCGACGAGTGTATGCATCACGCGACTTACACGAACCCAACGGCGTCTGCCATTGAAGACGGGTGGTCTCGCTTGAGAATGTCTGAGAAGGCGTTGTTGCGGTACTCCCGCGCGCCGAATCCTCCGACTTCCTCGAAGTATCCACAGCCCAGCAGGCAGCTCATCGCTACGTCTGTGATACCCTCGGTCAAGAGGTGTGGACATGCCAGAACTTACAAAATACAAACTAAGAGCTCGTGGCGATACTGCGGTTTTCTCACTTAGTTGGGTTAAGGTCTCAGTTCCGTCTCCGATAAAGTCAGGTACCCCAAGGGTTGTGACGAAGTAAAGAGCTTGACTCTCCTGGCAGGATGCTAGACTCAAGTATTAATACGTGGAAAGCGTACGTTCTGCGTTGAGAGATCGTTACCTGCAAGAATAGCAGTATATTCCAGTGGCCCAAGGATTTTCCTCAATAGTGCATCACAAGCGTTTTGGATCTTTATCTTGACGCCGTACTCGTCTCCCTGTTGGCTAGGGTCATTTCCATGACTATTCGTTTGCGTAAGAGTTTGCACTAGGTGCAGAATATCTTCAGCTAGTGCCAGGGTGGTGTGAAGGGTCTGCATATCTGGTGGTGGGGTGCAATATTGAAAGATTCGGACTTGAAGCCTGTTAGAAGCCTATCCATACACGCATCGTGTCAGATGCTATGACGAGTGCTGTGATTGCTCCTTGATTGGGTTACAGCGCGGCTGGAATAACGGACTAGTGGCGTATTCTGCTGGAAATAGGTGGCGATTCGTGAAAGATGTGAAGCGTGTGTTCCGTTGGCTCATTTGCTGACGATGTCCGGTTTCACCGTCAGCCTCCCCCGGCTTCGCCGCTTTGCGCCTGAGAAAGTAGTGGACACACACCCCACGAGAGGCGTTGTACAGTGTGGCATTGAATGAATTGGGTGGCGTTGACCAGGGCGCGATAACGATCACGGTCTTTTCATGATTCGATAGAAGCAGCCACAGCCCGAGAAACCCGAAGTAGAGGCTACGGTCATGGAAGAGGGAGCCCTCGGCCTGAGTTGAACATGAAGATAAGGACTATATTTGGTATGCAGGTGGATGCACACTGGATCTAATTCCCGCTAGAATGATATCGATCGCCTGTGAAAAGACTAAGTCGTTTTGACACCTACTGTGCGGCCAACTCGGATAGAAATGACGAACTTTATGACCATCGAGGTGCAATAGCGCTTCAGCCCCAGAAGTCCGCTGGGAATTGCTGACGATTACTCCATCGAATTCACAGGCCCGGGACCATCTGTCAGGAGGATACCCCAACTACAACTACTAATAATGTAATATGAATCAACTGTCAGACTTGCTTGCGTACAATCTTAGTCCGAACAGCTGGTTTGTTGTCGACACGTCGACGTGTGCGCTCGTTCGCTTCCGCTACACCTGGACAGGTTACAGATAACACTCCACATCTAAATGTCACGTTTAGCCCATTGCAACTATTTCAATCGTGAAATTGAAGATGCGGCTTTGAAAGGAGAAGGTTACTTACTTGAATATCCTTATGCAACCATGCACCGAGAGAGGAGTTAGGCTTGAATGTGATGCATAGGCCGTACCTGCCGCGAGAAGATCAACCTTGGAGGGAAGGGGTATCGAAACCATGAAAATCTGAATCATTCAACATACTGCTGCACGGGACCAGAATGCTCCGTAGACTGTAGATTGTCAACATATATACCTGCATCTGAACGTTCGTCCGGAACAACACGGATGACCTTGCTAATTTCTCACGAATAGCAGCCAACACGGAATTACCCGGCGTGCCAATCTTCCTGTGAACGAATCACCTCCAGCCTAGGCTCCTGCATGGTGGTTCACCGTATGCCCACCTATACCATGTCGCTTATGGTTAAACCAGAGGCACTGGTCCCGGCGAGTATAATCAGTACCTCTGTTTGCATCTGTCGGCTAGCGGCTTGTTCGTCCGATGAGCACCTCTGTTTGCGTCAGTCAGCTAGTGGCTTGTTCGTGGCGCATACTAGGCCGTGAAGCCCCATTTGCCAGTGATTGCTAGCTGGATTCCAGTGCTTCGTGACATAAATATGCCTATGGAGGCTTAATTTCCAGTCAAAGTCATGCAGGCTCACGCGGTTTCCTCTCTACCAGCGACTCTCCCCGAGCTCTTACACACGAAGTCAGGAGAGCTTGACTCCGTACTGGTATTCCTCAGATCGGGTACCCCCAAAGTATGGTCGTATGCTCAACTGTTCGAGGAAGCCTCCATCCATGCCCGTCGCTTAACCTCGCTCGGGTTGAGGCAGGGCGGCGGAGACGTGATCCTCACAAGTTTTCTTCGCCACGAAGACCATATATTGTTCTTCTGGGCATGTTGCCTTGGTAAGCTTCCTCCATTCGCACGTCTACCATTTCTTACTTTACCGTCATGTAGCCGGTATTCCGGTTTGTCCGCTGCCTGCGTGGCATCCTGACCCGTCTCGTCAGGCCGCCGTATTCAGGCATCTGTGTGATGTGTTCGAAAACCCGACACTTGTAACAACATCAGATGCAGCGCAGACTGTTCATGCTCTGGCACCCGACCTCAGAGTCATAACGGCAGAGGAACTGCCTTCCCCGGACACAGAGTCCGTCACATATCCGACGTGGAAACCATGTCCTGACGATGTTGTCTGCTACATGTTGACTTCCGGTTCCACCGGAAAGTCAAAGGCTGTCGCGCTTCGACACTCGAACTTATTATCTGCTGTTCGCGGCAAGATTGCCCACCACGGGACCAGCTCGACCTCCCGCTTTCTGAACTGGATATCGTTCGATCACGTTGCATGTCTATGCGAGGTGCACCTGCACGCTCTCGAAGTTAACGGAAGGTAAAACCATTTGTTCCCATAATTTGACTCCAACACTAATCGAACCGCTAGTCAATTCCATACATCACCTTCTGAGATAATACGTAGACCCAGCGACCTCCTCCGTCTATGCAGCGAATTCAAGATCACGTACACGTTCAGCCCTAACTTCCTTCTGGCTAAGATATGCGAAGAGAATCAGTCAGCCCCTTATGATAAACTTGATTTATCTCCGCTGCATTCCTTGATCTCAGGGGGTGAAGCTGTGCCGATCAAGACCGCTGTAGCCTTTGCTGACCTCATGGAGAAATGCGGAGCCCCCAGGAACGCTCTCAGAGCAGGCTTTGGTATGACAGAGACTTGCGTACGAATTATCTCCTTTCATGACAGGCAGACGAAATATCCTGATTACTATGTCTTCAGGCCGGGAGCGTATATGATACACGACCCATTCTGCGAGATCCTACTTCTGTCTCGATCAAATATCTGTCGGTCGGGAAGTCGTGCAACGGGATCTCCGTGCGGATCGTCGAACCGATAACGGGGTCCGCCTCTCCCCCCGACAAGATCGGATCTCTTCAAGTTCGGGGCCCTACAGTTTTTCGCCAATACCACAATGATCCGATGGCCACGGCGGAGGCCTTCACTGCTGACGGATGGTTCGTGACTGGAGAACTCGGATATTTGGACCAGGACGGAAACCTCCATCTCGTTGGAAGAACCAAGGATGTCCTCAATATTAACGGCCTCAAGTATGCCAGCGAAGATGTTGAGCACTACGTCGAGGAAGCGGGTATCCCAGGTGTCGTCAAGTCGTCTGTCTTCGTGTGCCCTGTTCGCATCGGACAGGCAGATACAGAGACTTACGCGGTCTTCTACCAACACGATATGGGGGCAGGGAGCGCCTACGACGAAGCATACGGCGACGAAATCGTTGCATCCAACAAGGCGGTGAAGTCGCGATGCGCAATGTTTTGTTCGCAGGCACCCCACGTAGTGCTTGCTCTACCGCGCCAATACTTTGTGAAATCCGCCCTAGGGAAAGTCTCTCGGTCGGGCTTATCCCATTCTTATCTTGCAGGTGAATTCAAAGATGCGGAGGGCCGACAAACAAGTGCCAATCCCACACAAGGCATAGAATACGCTCCATCGGACATGAATTCCCCAGTTGAGCATCTGGTTGCCAAGGCTATCTCCGATGTATTCGATTGCAGCATTACCGGCGTCAGGCGCGAGCAAAATATCTTTGACTTTGGCGCGTCGTCACTGCACTTGATGCGCTTAAAACATGTCCTGGAGGAGCGGCTGTCGGTGAGGGATATACCGACGATTGAGTTGCTCAGAAGGCCCAACGTAGGGGAGCTTTGCGACTACATAGGGACGTTCTCCGCCGAGGGCTCGAGCTCCGCTCTTGCAAGCGTCGAATATCAGCCACTGGTCTGTCTGAATGCCTCCGGGTTAAATCCACCGCTGTTTCTGGTCCACCCGGGCGTCGGAGAGATCTTAGTGTTCATCGGTCTCGCGCGTATGTTTACCGGCGATCGGCCGGTCTACGCTCTTCGCGCACGAGGCTTCGACCACGGAGAGTCCCCCTTCGGGACATTCCAAGAGATGGTTGATTCGTACACATCTGCCATCGAGAAATGCCTCCCCAACGGCCCGTATTGCATTGCTGGGTACAGCTTCGGTGGAGCGGTGGCGTTCGAGATTGGCAAGAGGTGGCAGAAAGCGGAAAGCGCGTCTCCTGGCTCGGTATAATGAACCTCCCGCCTCACATTCAGTTCCGTATGAAGGAGCTGATCTGGACGGAGGTCCTTCTCAATCTCACGATGTTCCTTTCCTTGATACCGTCCTTAGAACTCGACTCCGTGCGAGCAGCGCTTCTCGCGGAGTTCCCGGCCATTGAAGGGCATGATATGGAACCCTGCGAGAAGACCCGCGGAGCCGTGATCAAGTGGATTTTCAAGCGGGCTAACCAGAGGAGACTCTCGGAGCTGAACCTCGAGCTCAACGCATTCGCAAGATGGGTGAAAGTCGCGTATGAGATCAACCGCACAGGCCGCACTTTCGAGCCGAGAGGCTGTGTGAAGGGTGCTCTGACGACCGTTTTCTGCGCCGTGCCACTGCCATCGATGGGAACGCGAGAGGAATATAGACGGGAAAGGCTGTCTGCATGGAAGGAATTCAGCGGTCCGCGTTTCGAAATGGTGGACGTCGATGGAGAACACTATACTATGCTCTCCGAGGAACATATCGACTCATTCGCCCAGAAGCTGAAGCAAGCTCTGCAGAGGAGTGAGAAAAGTCCCGTAGAAATTTCGGCGCAGATGTCTCCGTCGAAAGCTGATTTTGACGCCGTGCCCGTAATCGACTTTGGACTAGCCGAGAAATCCCCAAACGAATACTTCCAGCAGCTCAAGTACGCGCTCGAGGAAGTAGGATTCCTCGTACTCGTGAACGTCCCCGGATTCGAGGCCTCCTTCCAGCAGGACCTCTTCGCGCTGGCTGAATCCCTGTTCAGAAAACCGCAGGCGTGGAAAGACTCTCTGGGGACCGAGAACTCTTTCTCTTTACGTGGTTATTTTCGCGCTGACACTATTGAGGGTGCCCATAAGGTAATCAGATCCGACATGTATGTATACATGCATCTTCTGAATCCTGCTCCTCGCAGGCGCATGCTGAGGCCTACCGCTTTGGTGCTGAGATGCCAGCCCCAGGTGACGTGAAGGACACCACGGTACCGTTCTGGCTACGCCTCCACGAAGGTACGATTCCCCCTCGCACCTGTCCCAGCACCCTGCGTTAATAAAAGTGTCTCCCGCAGGTCCGAACCAGTGGCCGCCGGAGGAAGACGTGCCCGGCTTCCGCCGCCAGATGGAGGTTCTCTTCGAGCGCTATTACCAGCTCAACCTCACGCTGAACCAGCACATCTGCGCGCTGCTGGGAGTCGACGCCGCCGTCCTCGACGCGTATTTCCCCGCCAAGCGCGAGTTCAACAGCGCGATATGGCACTATTTCCCCGTGACGCCCGAGATCGCGCGCAGCGCTCGGGACGGGTTCGCCCAGGCGATGCACGAGCATCGCGACCCGTCGACGTTCGTGACGTGTCTGATCCAGTCGCGCGCGGGCTTGCAAGTGCAGAATCACGCTGGTGCGTGGGTGGACATACCCATGGTGGAGGGAGGAGTTGTTTGCAACATTGGTATGTATATACTTACTCTGCTTATCAATACCGCGTAAGGGCATCTCTCATCGCACTTTAATAGGTATGCATCTCATGACACTCACCGGCGGCCGGCTGGTAGCCACCACGCACCGCGTTAACACCCTAAAGATTGATGAAGACAGGTAGTATTGCACGCACTCCACTCACCAAACCGTGCCTTTCTTAGCGAGCACAGTAGAGCCTGACGCCACGCTTGCAGATACACCATTCCGTACGTCCTCTCGACGAGGCTCGACAAACGCATCGAGCCGCTGCCCCAATTTGCGGCGAAGGCGCACGTCCCGCCGAATCCGAAGATCCTCAAGCTGATGGCGGTCGAGGACCCGCTCGTGCGGAGCGGATATGCGCGGCTCTCGCTGTTCCCCGCAGCCACGAAGCGGCTGTACCCGAAGGAGTTCGAGGAGGCGAGGGCATTGGGGGTTCTTTAGACCGGGGAGGAGGGGGAGAGCGCATGGAGGCGACCCTCACCTCTGATTTCTTGCTTTGTGTATATGTTGTCCTCTGTACTCCATGATCTACAGATACGTGTTGACGTCGTTGACGGCAGCGCGGTGTCATGTCTAGACTGCTGTACTAGCAATGCTCACAGTGCCGCCTTATCTCATATCACGGAGTCCACCCCCCCCCCCCGCCCCCCCTATTAGCGAACGATGCATACACTGACACAAGAGACGCGTCAAAGTATTGGAGGTATGGGTTAAGGGAGAGTCGACTGTAATCACCCTGGTCTGTCTATGCCTCGGCGGCCTTCCACTTGCACTTACTGCGGGCGGATAAATGCGCCGGCGCTGGACATTGGACTCGCATGCAATCGGCAGGAAAACATTCTCCTACAATGTGCCGAGAGTCCCTTCGTCTGTGGAGAGCATTGTAGGAAGATATTCTCCCGCTCCTTGCGTATTCCTTGCAGGGAGTCCTTCACCGTAAATGGTTCTTTGTCCCCAGTTAATGGTGACTTCAAGCTCATGGACACCTGGCAAAGAGCGTGTTTCAAGGCTGGGAAGAGGCGCAGCTTGCCCGTGGAAGACCTCGGAAACACTACCATACCAGAGGACATCTTCTTCGAGTCGAATTGTCCTAGCTCTTCCGTGTCTTGTGTCGCTACTGTCATGGGTGAGGACCTGCTTCTGACTCCGGAAAGCAGCTTCAGCTTCACCTGCCCGAGTTCACCTGCCGAGATTGAAGAGCGGGTCGCCGAGAACATCGATATGGAGGAAGCAGAGAGGGCCTCTGTACTTGAAGACGCTGCCCGGGCACTCACTAGCTCCAATGAAGACTCAATAGGTACTCTTGTCAAACCCGAGGAACAGAGGAAGCAAGTCGTCGAGACCATCCACCTAGAGGAAGTCCCGAAGTTCATTACGCGTGAAGACCCAGTCTGGTTACCTTCGCGGTTTCTGTTAGCCCCGTGTTACTTCAAGTTCCCGCAGACGGCCCCTGTAGGAAGCCCATGCGTACCCTTGACAATGCGTTAGATTGCTCAGTGGTACCGGTGGAAACTTCTACTGAGGCTCCCATTCCCTCTGCTGCAGTGACTGCAGTGCACGTCGTCGGCGTCTCTGCCGATGATTTTCGGGTGTCGAATACACTGTCGTCACTACTTCGGACTCCTCTACTTCTTCCACGGCGAATATGGCCGCGGTATCCCTCGCGTCGACCGAGAGCATTAAGGATTTCGAGGTGTCTCTTACCGCTTTGGAGTCCACCAGATCCTCAACCCCCTCCTCCGCCTCAACATTGCCGCTGCACACCAAGTCTGTCCTTCTACCGGCGAAGTTCACCCGGAGGGCACGAAGCTCCCTGTCAAAGGCAAGAGTGTGTCGCCAGTGTCCGCTACGAAGCGTCTCCCGCACAAGCCCCCGCCAACCGAGGACGAGAAGGACGCAGAACGTACACGCGGCCAGCAGGTCGTCACTGGCAACGTGGCGATGCCCACCCCTTTCCCCCGGGTCCATCCTTCGCCTATCAAGAAGGTCGAGGTGGAGGAGAAGCTGAAGCCGGTGTTCAAGCTCCATGCGAGGGTGCCGTGTCCCAAAGCCCTCGCTGCATTGAGGAAGGTCCAGGAAAAGGAAAAGCCGGTGTTCAGGAGGCACGCGACGGGTTGTCCCAAGGCAGCTGTCGCTACGAGGCTCGAGGGGGCTCAAGAAGGGCGAGGTGAAAGCAGTCAAACCGGTGTGTTCTGGCGTGGGGAGAGGCACCGGGCTCAAGCCGAAGGGTAACGCCAGGAGCCCCAAAGTGAAGGCTGCGGGAAAGGAGAATGTTGAATGCAAGACGTACTGATTGTAGTTTTCTCCTTTATATTCTCATGTAATATATCATCCCGCCATTTAGTTTCATCTATAGATGTATAATCGTTAGTGTTGCCGCACCGATAGAGCGAAGGCCTGAGTCGACTCTGTGCTAAGTCGGTTCACAATTAAGGATGCCAGACTTACCCTAGGAAATACATAAAAGTCCATGATGCGAGCAAGCGTGCAATGCTGGAATACTAGTTGTAGGTGCACGATTACAAGAACCCCTAAATAATTATCGAACTGCTACTTTTACACCCAGGCACCAGAGGTCCACCCCCAGACGTCTACACAACTTTCATACCCTCTTCGCATCCTCAGGGTATAGCTCCTTTCGCGCACGATCAGCTTCCGATTCATCTTCGCCCAACGGGCCCTCCTGCTTATGAGGCGCGTTATCCCCAACGCTTGTCGACACTTCAGCTGTCGAGGAGGTATCAGCAGCTGCAGCACTCGTCGTGTCTACTGACGTCGTATCTGCAGCTTGACTCTCCGCCGTGGTCGGCTGCGGCTCGGTGATGACAGAGCTGATCTCCTTGCTCTCAGCCACAGCAGGGCGATCCACCGGAGGCTCACTCTTGATATCCTTCACAGGCTGAGCAGCGAAGATATCACGCCCAGGTTCCGGGCCTACAGCAATGCTTGAGGTTTGCGGGTCGGGGGAGTCAGGGACGATGCCCTGTCCGACTTTGTTGTCCTGCACGACTACGGGAGCGCGGCCACCAGCTTCACCCCCGACGGTGACAACAGGAGTGCTCGATCTCTGTGGAGTAGCGGCTTTACCGTAGTACTGGCTATACTGTAGGGCAATTAGTACTGAACGGTCCCTTCGAGCTTTGCTCTATAACTCACGTCATCCAGGAAGTCATTGCTTATGGGAAATAAGACTCTCTATCAGCCACCATGTCGCGCTCGGGTAGGACAGCAACCCCACGTACCAGTTGAAATCCCAGGTCTTGAGCCACCGGGCGGAATTACATTTTGACTTCGTCCACGGGTTGCCATACGCAATTGGACTGAAGTACGAGAAACTCCAGATGGCGAGAAGGATAAGGACCGCTGCTATCTGCAGGCGCACGCGTGGGCGCAAATTCGACGTTACCAGATCGAAGACAGCAGCGCATAAGAGGATCGCGAAGTAGAGAGCCGGGAAATAGTGGTGCAAGAAGAGCTGTCGTCCCATGAGGAAGAAGGGGAAATAGTGCAGTGCCCAACCGACAAAGAGGAACCCGCAGAGAGTGTCATACTTCACCACCTTGGCTGAAAGTGAACGAGATGGTCAGTATAATTCCGGCAAAGTGCATCTTACGACTAACTGTTCTCGAAATCTCTGTATCCACGTTTCGCACGCAGGATGAGGAAGCCTCGGACGGATGCATAGGCTAGGACTGCGAGTGTACTCAGCCACCATACAGTGGGATTCCCCAGCAGATAAATCTGGCGGTGGTCCTTTACCCAGAAGTTCTGTAGGGGAGGTATGAGTAAATACCACGTAGTGATACACCAGTTTGGACTTACGATACCACGTCTCAGCCGCGGCCATGCGTCGGGCCTCGAGTCATACGTATGCCGATCCGTCAAGCCAGCGTTCGTCGTCCACATTACTTGCTGCAATTCAAGGAACTTGCCGAAGAAACCAGGAAGTCGGTAGTTGACCTTCTCAGCATCAGCCGGAACTGCATGATCAATTCAGTACAACCGACTCAGTGGACGGGAATGTATACGATGGAGGACTTACGATCCGGATGCCAGTTCGTTTCAATAAACCACAACGAATTGTCCCTCACAGCGTTCTTATTACACGTCACCTCTTGCTGCTCGTACCCCCACTCGGGCAACTTGACCTTGTGCGAGAACAGATAACACCCCGTCAGCGCATGACGCAGCCTAAACTGCGTGCGGAGCGTCCGCAGGCGCTTCCCGCTCTCCCTGTCGCGCTTGTCACCCTTCTCGATCTCGACGATCCAGTCGTCGTTCGCGTCGCCGACAAAGTGCGGCATCCCGTAGCCCGACACCTCGTTCTGGAAGTCCACGTCCGACACCGGCGGCCGGATCTCGTGCGAGTGCAGGTACTTCTGCGTCGAGATATGCCGGAACTTGAGGCGCATGCCCGGCGTGATATACGTCAGCGGCTCGCCGAAGGGCAGGTCCGAGTCCGGGTCGGCTTCGGAGCTGGCGTTGAAGATCCGCCAGTCGTTGTTCGCGTCGCGGTGTGGGTAGAGGGTGACCTGTTGCTCTGCACGGTGTTGTCAGTAAGCTGGTGACCATACGAAGCCGAGACATACGGTTGCTCCCGCCGGGATAGTTGTGAGGGTGAGAGTGTAGATAGCCCCCTTGTGTGTTGACGTGACGGATGGTGACCGTGGAGCCAATCGCGACATCTGGTAGCATGTGGGCTGAATATTCCACCAAGGTATGATAGCCAAGCACTCACCCGCATACGTATCCGCCATACCTCTCCCATTCAACGTGTGCTGGAACTCAGAGCTCATGAAGCCGTCGCCGTCTCCAGAATTCGACAAAATCAAGAAGTGGATCGCAAACATGGACATGTAGAACACAATAGGTATGGCGATCAGGCACAGCGCCCTTGCCAAGAAATGCTTCATCCAGAGCCGCGGTGACACACGCAGGTCGCCGAGAAGAAGCCACAGCTGCTTGAGAGTACTCACACCCACGGTCGCGATAGTGAAGAGACCGACCCACTTGCAGCTGACCACGGCACCGAGAGAAAGACCAGACAAGATCAACCATGTCCACCACGACTCCGTGAACGGCTGATGCTTATCTTCGTTGCAGAACCCGACCCAGACGAATACGGTGAGAGCCGTGAAGAAGACTAAGGGAGAGTCGAGGAGGATATGCCGGGACTGGGTTATCAGCCCGTTTTCGAAGGTGAGGAAGAGGGATGCGAGGATGGCAGTTGTTGCGCGGCAATCAAGGGCACGGATGGTGAGGTAGGAGAGGGGGATAGTTGCGACGCCCATAATCGCGGGAACAAGCCGCATAGCGACGTAGGGAACGCGCTCATACGTTCTAGTACGGTTAAGACACGCTTGTAATGACAAAATGAGCGCTCACTTTCCAATGTCCTTGAAGTCAAAGTTTCCATCATATCCAAAAACGAAACCAGCCAGAGTGATTAATAGTTTGGCCAAGGGTGGGTGTACGTCCACAAAGTACTGGGATTTGATGTACTTTGAGGCGAACTTGCCAAAATGGACTTCGTCAAAGCTGCATATAGGGATTCAGTTACAAGAAAGCTTCTTCCATGAGGTATGTACTCACACAACGCTATTTGGTTGCGGCAGGCGGAATAACCGAACCAAGACCGCTACGACCACTATGATGAACAACACCTTCCATTCTGCTGGCGCAATATTCAGTCCGCCTGGGGGGAAGCTCTTCCGTCCAATATCTCTCCTGGTGAACCCTTTTGACGCCGCCTCCCTTCGCGCATCTGCGTCTAGATGACCGTCCCGAACGTGAGGATATCTCGGTGCATGACCAAGAGGGGGTGAAGCCGGCCTCCTCGACCTTACGGTCGGATTCATTGAACTAGAAGCAATTAAACGGTACGAGAGAGCTCAGCTCCGAAGCGAAGAGTAAGGAAAGGAGTCCGTGAGTTGGTCGACGTGTCTGCAGCAGGTGCAGCTGATGCTGCGGCAGTGCCTTAGTTGACGGTATGTTGAATCGTGAGAATTATGAGCTGCGCTGCGTTGTGATCCATAGCGTCGCGAAGCGGGATTCATGGAAAATGGACACGACCACCTTGGGTTATTCGAGTACATGGAGGGGAAAAAGAGCATTTCGCAGCGTACATACGTCCCGGGAGACTTGCCAGATTTCCGGAGGTACCAAGCCTGAGTCAGTCAATGACTGCAGTTCGATGTATGTACTTATAGGTGAAGATGTTCAAGGTCAGGAATGGCGGCAAGAAAAGGGGGCTGCGTAGTGGTGGCGAGTGTCTCTCAAGCATGTCTCTGAAAAGTGCCTCTCTAGAGCACCGGCATAGCAGGATGTCGTGCTCGAACAGACATAGCCATTCTGAGTAATTCTACTGCCATATCAGGACTCGTCATTGCGTGGGAAAATGGACTTGCGCGCACTCTCTCAAATTCACCTAGCTGGAGCACTCCTCGACAACAAAATGATGGTCTAAATCAAGCTGTAATCCAATAGACAACATAACAGACGGGTATAATGCGAAATACAGACGTTTCTGTGCTACATGAGGTACTAACTGCCCACCAACTGCCCCCTGTCAGCGCCCACTCGCTGTATCATAACACCACCATCTACGCCTGACCTCTTCTCTGAACTGGAAAATTCTCCTTTCCCGCGGTAACCGACCTCTGGTTCCTAGGCCTTTGGTTGTACCGTCCCGGATTCTCCATCAATGGCCTCCTTGAGTGACTAGGTGCCTGGAACGCCGTGGGGTCCAACAGCAGCTGGTCTATCGACTCCAACTCGAAGGACTTGCGGCGGCGCGGATTGTGTCCGTCGGCGAGAGGCGTCATTGGAGGCGTCTGCAAGCCTCGCGATTCCGGGACAAAACCGCTAGGACGAGGCTCCGCCATTCCGAGAGACAACAACGAATGCCTAGGAAGATTCAAGAGTGGCGGCGGAGGCGGGAACTGCAGGATGAGATCCCAAAGATCCTCTCTATCCGTACCGGGACTGGCCGAAGGCGACAACGGCTCTCCGCTCCCTTGAACGCTCGGGAATATCGCCTCCGTGGGGCTGTATGGCGGTGTGGGTAGGACGTACTCTCGTTGGTTTCTCGAAATGGTCGCGCACTGCTGAACCTCGCCTCCTTCGGACATGCGCCGTGCGAGGAAGCGGTCGTCCAGCTCCTTGATCTGCAGCTGGAGACTGTCAAGGCCATCCCTCATCTCCCTCTCCCACCCGTCGTCCTCTCCAGGTACGGTTCTCTGTCTGTGACAGTGTTGCTCCATAGCGGTACGTCCCCATTCCACCGGGAGGCTGCTAGCGCCGCGCGCCCTGGTCCTCGGGCTGTTGTCCAGGAGCCCTGGAGAAGGCAGGTCGAACCTTTGCGCTTCGTATATGCAGGCGTACCTCCTGGTAGCCCTCGTGGACTGACCCTGCCCCCGTGTTCCTAGGCTGCTCTCCTCCGCCAAAGTGTTCCTCGTCGAGTCCGTAACCTTCGTGGGTGTCGCGTTCTCCTTGTCGGCTTTCTTCCCCAGGCCCTTGAACTTCATATCGCGTCCGAACTATTGGCGAGTGAGCGAGTGGGATTGATGCTTGAGTAACGCGAGGTCCCGGACGCTGGGCTGGTCGAAAGCGCTGAACTGGATGCCGACGAGCTAGGCAGGCTTGATGCCGGACGCAGGGCCTGCGTCGTCGGATTGGCGGATGAGGCGAGAAGCTGTCTGCTAGCCGCCATCGCATCTTTATGTACGGAGACTGGTTGTCAGCCGCAAGGGCGCCCAGGATCGAGGATTTCGATCAGGACCATCGGCGGCATTGTTCTATGACGAGCGAAGGGACGGCGAGGAAGAAGAACGTGCGACCGCTAACCCTTGTCATAGTGGGATACGGTGGCAGTCAGATATTTTGCGGAAAGTGACGCCGGTCTGTCATATCTGGTGTCCGTGAGGCCCGAGGTCTTACCTGATAGCTATAGCAGCCCGTGAACGGTAACAGTCTCAAATAAAATAGGGAATAATATCATGATACATCTATGATTATATGGGAAGAGAGTACATAAAGCAGAATATAAGAACTTGAAAGACGGGAAAAAAATGATACAATTACAACGTATACATACTCTATCGCCAAGCACCAACATTCTCCTTTCCCGCAGCCTTCACTTTGGGGCTCCTGGCGTTACCCTTCGGCTTAAGCCCGCTGCCTCTCCCCACGCCTGAACCAACAGGCTTGACTGCTTTCACCTCGCCAGCCTTCTTGACCTCCCTCGTGGCGACAGCTGCCCTGGGACAACCCGTCGCGTGCCTCTTGAACACAGCCTTTTCCTTCTCCTCGGCCTTCTTCACGGCTGCGACGGCTTTGGGGCACGGCACCATCGCGTGCCGCTTGAACGTCGGCGTTGGTTTCTCCCCCTCGTCTTTCTTGACAGGTGACGGGCGGGCCCGGGGAACAGGAGCCGGGATCGTGACGTTGCTAGTGACCACCTGTCGCCTGCGGGTACGTTTCGCGTTCGTCCCGTCCTCGGCCTTGGGTTTGGGTGGGACTCGCTTGGCAGCGGAAACGGGGGAGATTCGCTTGCCTTTGGCAGGGATCTTCGGGGCTTTGGAGCGCACTTCGGTGGTGGACGGCAAGACCGGAAGTGAAGCGACGATGTCGGAGAGCGAGGAGGCGGAGGAGGCGCTTGAAGAGCTGGCGGACTCCGAAGCGGTAACGGACACCTCGAGGTCCTTGATGCTCCCGGTCGATACGAAAGATACCTCAGCCGCAGTCTCCGTGGAAGAAAGAGAGGACTCCGAAGCAGCGACGATAGACGCTTCTACAGTACAGACGATGGCGACGGGTACAGCAGCCTCAGGCGTGATTTCCACCGGTGTCACTGGAAAATCCATCGCATCGTCGACGGCAGGGACGGGCTTGACACAGGGGTCATCGGCGGAAAGTACATCGGAGCCAACGGAAACCGCGAAGGCAGCAACCACCAGGGGCTCCTGAACTGGGTCTTCACACGTAAGAGACTTCTCGTGTTCCTCTACGTGGATGCTCTCGACCACTGGCTCCTCGGGTTTGACAAGAGTCTCTGGGGAGTCCTCGCTGGTGATGGTGAGTGCCCGATCGGGCACTTCGAACACGAGGGACTTCTCGGCTTCCTCCATCTCGACGTCCGCTGGAGCTGGCACTTCAAGTTCGGCAGGTGTGTCCGGAGAGACAAAGCTGAAGCTGCTTTCGAGAGCGCGGAGCAGGTCCTGGCCGACGGCGGTAGCGAGAGAAGACACGGGAGAGGAAGGACGATCAAAGGCGAAGACGGCATCCTCGGTCTTGACTTCCTGCACTGTAGTCGATACAGGGATTTCCACAGGTAAGCTGCGCCTTCTCCCCGCCTTGAGACATGCCTGGTAGTCCGAATTCACCACCGCAGCTCTAGTCACCTGGTTCAGCGGCCAGCTCCATCGCCTACCCGACTTCAGCGACTCCTGGTACGCCGAGTTTACTACGACAGCCTTCTTGGACGGGGTGGGTACCAGAACATCAGCTGCAGCAGTGGCAGAGGGACTCTCGTCGAGGACCTGGGAGAACAGTTCAATCTCGACCTTCTTCCTAGCGTCGACCTCTGGCGTCTGCTTCAGCGTCGGACCGAGGAGCTCTACAGGTAAGCTGAACCTCCGACCCTGTCTGAGACACTTCTGGTAGTCCGAGTTCACCACAGCAGCCCGCTTGGCTTGTGTAATAATGGGTTCGGCGATGGGCCACGTCTGCCTCTCGTTGCTCCGGAGAGTGTCCTTGCAGGCGGAGTTGGCCACGGACCATTTCTTCCTGGGTGGAGTGGAGGTGCGGATATCTTCTTCAGTCCATATGGGCTGGAAGGGCTCTTCCGTTGGTGCGGCGGGAGAGGCGGTCGAGGAAATAGCCAACACCGGGCCGTTGCTTTCCGCAGGGGAGTTACGCGTGGGACTCAAGCTCTTTGGGAGCGGGGTCAGTATGCGAATGAAATGTGAGCTGCCCTCCGCACCTCCTGTTCGCACCAATCCCGGATGCAAGTAACTGTGTCCTTCGTGGGGAACGAATACCTATGTTCCTTCGTGAACCACTAAGTTGCGTGTCAGCCACCTGAGTCAATCGCGCTTCTGTACCATCAGATGCTCACCGAGAGAATGGTAAAACGGCGGCGGGCGTCCTGGCCAGCAGGAGCAGCTTCGTAGACCTGAGAAGACTCTTTGACAGACAAGATGATAGGATAGACCAATACAGCGGCCAGACCAAGAATAGAGATGCCAAAGACCGCTAAGACGATCCAAGCCCAGAGAGGAAGGTCGAAGTCCATGACTATGGTCGACGATGTATCGAGTACACAGATAGGTCGATCCAGTGAGTCCTCGGATGAGCTCGTGAAGGCAGAGTGATAAGAAGCGAGTAAGGTAGAGCGCAGTATTTATGCATATCTCCCGTTGGCTGACGAGGAGGCTGACCCTCTGTCAGTCCACATTGCAACGGCATCGCCGGTGCTAGTCATGCATGTCCAGACTCGCAGAACCCATAACGAATGGATCAATGCACTTGCCTCGCGTTGGACTGTAAAATTTAGGGGAAGCCAATACGAGGAAGAACAGATTGTAGCAGTAGTTAGACGGTGACTGAGTCGAAGTCGAGTCCAAGTTGTTAGGCGACGCTCGGAGACATTTGACTTCACACGGTCAGAACACGCAAGCTCCGAATCCGCTCTGCCCTCTGAGTTTAAGTTCTGGCAGGCCACAATATGATACAAGCTCCTCGAGCACTCGAATGGCACTTGCCCCTAAGTCCATCATTTGCGTCTGGTCCCGCCGGGGTGTTGAGGATTAATATCCAGGCAGAAAACTTTATATAGTTACTAATTAAACTACTAAAAAGGAGACGGCCCACAAGACAATATCAGTCATGTCCTATGTGATTCCCAGAGTCGATATTCACTCCAAGCCCGCTGATCACAGTGTACAACTCGGCCACGAACAGAGAGCCATACAACTCATCGTCCCGGCCGTTGATTCTACATCCCTATCCGATATCCTGGCACCAACTATCCACGTCTTTAACGACCGTATCACCCACCCAACGCAACGAACACTGTAATTCGAAATCGACTTGACATCGCATAGCAAATATGGAAGGCCGTAGGACAGGGGTGATCGGTCCCCGCCGGTGAGAGGATCGGACTCTCACCACCTTCGCTAGCGTCGTCATTCTCCTTGTTCGGCCTCACGAGAGTGGAAATCGGTGGGATTCAAGGGTTTGCATTGGGCTTTATCACGGTGGTTGGTAGAGGCTATTCAATCATTACTCCATCGGCTCGGACTTGAATGAGCAGAAACATGGCTGGAGGAGAAATTGTCAGCAGGAGACGGGCAACGGCGCTGAGATACTCACACTGTCACCAGGAGAGGCTCTGCAGATGGGTGAATGGATGGATATCTAAGCTGGGTCCCGTTGATAACGGTTCTTGGCAGCGGCGAGCCTATGACGGCCACTGTGATCAACAGAGTCAGTAAGTACAAAATCATGAGTACGGCCTGAGAGACTGCGCACCTTGGATATAGAATATCGACTCTTCGGAATACACACACAACAAGATTTATACGCTTATCCGTAAGACCCAGAGAGAACAGACATACAGAGAGAAACGGCGGACATGCGAGGCCCGATTAAAATGATGGAGGGATGAGACTAAACGGGTATATGATAGCCTTGTATGTTTTTGGGTTATCTTCTTTTTGAGAACTTCATTAGGCAGGGATCGGGCTTTAGGCAAGGGGCGACGTCGACTCCCGCAGCAGGCTCAACCTCCGGATAGCGAGTGGCTCGTCGTCCTCAGAATCCGCGAGACTGTCCAGAGAACCAATGGAGAAGAAGCCTGAGTCGTCGTTGAAGGGCGCCTTGCTGTCCAACGCGGGGCTTGAGAAGAGAACAGCAGCGTATTCGTACTCCGGCTCGAAGACGGAGGCGTCTTCGTGGATCACAGGCTTATAGACGGGTTCTTCGGCGGCAGGGTTGTCCACGATAACAGCAGAAGGCTAGGTAACTTCAGACGACACGGCTTGCACTTCCACGACGGCGGCACGAGTAGGCGCAGCGATCGGTACGTCGTCCACAGCACCGTCCAGACTGTCGCAAGAACCAATGGTGAAGATGGCAGAGTCTTCCAGGACAGGAACGGGCGCAGACTCCTGCGGGACAGGAATCGACACAGGCTTCGGAGAGTAGTCCGACAGAGGCAGAGGTTGAGACTGAGATTGAGATTGAGGTGCAGGGACAGGCGCGAACATGGTCCGTGCCAGTTCCCGAAGCTCCTTTATCCGGCTCTCATCTCGCCGCTCCCAGTTGACGGTCGGCCGGAGGTCCTCCCCAGGCAAGCTGAATCGCCGACTGATCGTGGGTTCCCTTTGCGTAGTCGGCGCCCGGCTGGGTACTGACGCGCTCCGCACTCGGGTGACAGCGAGCATCCGTTGGAAGTCGGCCTTCTTGAGTACGGTGTTGCCGGCAAATAATGCAGGACCCTTCTTCGTAGTCCTCGGGGCGGGTTGCTCGACAAGCCAGAAAGGGGCCGTCCTCGGCCTAGGTGCAAGCTTCGGTTTGGGCTCGGTCCATTGAGATACTAGCGTCGGCAGAACAGAGATAGGCGTGTACATCTGTGGGGTCGTAGCCACGTCCGCGATCCACTCTAATACGGAGTCAACCTGCTGTTCGCGGTTCCACTCGCGGGCGCGATCTTCGACTTCGTCGGCATCCTCTTCGCGCAGCTTGTCCGTTTGCTTCGTGTCGGCCTTAATCGCGACGGGCTCACAAATTATATCGCTTCGAACCTTCGCGCAAACGGGTATCGCTTCCCAGGACGGATACAGGCGTTTGAGTCCACTGCTGAAAGAGACCCAAAGCCAGGGAGTCTTGCAGGGGCGCCAGCGGGTGTTGAGAAGCCAGGGATCCGGGATCCGTGGACGATACCCGACGAGGGGTTGCCACACCGTTGAGAGCGGCAGGTCGGTGCCGGAGGGAGAGGTCAAAAGCAGGGTGGGGGTATCCTCGAAGAACTCAGTGATGGAGTACTTTACGTCGGTCAGCCGCAGGGCACATCTGAAGGCCTGTCAACGTGCGTTTAGTGAGGTGCTTCGTGCAGTGGATACTACGCGCACCCTGTGCTTGAGCCAGCCATTAATGCTGTCAATCCAGCGAGACCACTGGGTACGCACGCGTTAGTCAATATGATTGGTGAATTTAATGTGACCACTGACCGAGAAGGGGCTGGTATTGTTCCCAATGCCCGTCAAGGGCGGGTCAGGGATGCGGTGGTAACCGGAGAAGACACTCCGGATAACGAGGAACAGGTAGTGACCAGAGGCAAAGGCAAGAGCCAGTAGACTCCCAAAGATGAAGATGAGGATCCAAGGGTGGAAGAGGATAGCAAAGTCCATGACGATGTTTCCGAGGTTTAACGGACGTTATGGGCTGGCGATGGGGATTTGGAGGTATGAGATGGTTGTACAGAACTGGGAAACCTGGAAGCATACCACCATCTCTTATACGCCTTGTACTAGAGGCTGACACTGATCGACCGTCAGCCATAGAACGGTCAGCCACGGTTATCCAAGAGGGAATACCCACCTTCGCTGATCGTGTCTAGATGGCGACCGGTCAAAATACTAATGAGGGCCGCTGAAGTTCTCAGCCGCTGACAGTAGCGACGAAGTTTGCATCTTCTCATATGCATCCAGTAGCCTGCACAAAGGGAAGCCTCAAAATTATGCGTATAATACAGCTACGCAGTGCTGGCAAGTTACTGAGTCTGTCTAATTGCGAGTCGACTCGGACGATATCGGTGGCTGTGCTGCTCAAATTAGCAAACATTGAGAGTGGCAATGAACGCCTTTGTTCCTTATTCGATGTCGGCGGAGCCATCGATGCGCTGCTGGTACTCTGTACAGTATAGGCGTTCTCCTCGGTCGGAGACGCACAATACAAGTGGGATAGTTAGTACCACTAACTCTGGCTACTCGAACGTGTGGTCATCTGAGTGTCCCAGCGTTCTGGTCATTGTCGGCGCCATCCTGCAGGCTACAAGCAATACGTATGGCGAATTAATTGCTGGACGCCTAAGCGGAATGGGGGTGGGGATCCAGGTAAGTCAGCTCGAATGATACGTGTAGATACCTAGTCAATGACAGGGTGAAGACAAACACCGTACCTACCTATCTCGTAGAATGCACTCCGGCGGCTACATAGCCACCGTAATTTGTATCGCCACTCTCGAGCTCTTCCTTTCTCAGGTTGGGCTGTTCGGTAGGAGCTATTATTAATAGCTTTATTTCATAAGTGGATCAACTACTCGCCAGCAGACTGTTCTCCTTCCCACTAGCCTCCCAGATCGTCTTCGCCATCGTCACCGGTGCCTTCTGCCTTGTTCTGCCAGAGTCGCCCCGGTGGCTCGTGTCGAACGGGCGCAACGACGAGGCGGAAGCAGTGGTTATACGTCTCATTGGGAACTTGAACAATGCAGCGCCAGAGACCCCGGAAGTGCGCCGGGTTATGACTGAAATGACTGGTATACCGCTTATTACGGTCTGTTCTTCTTGACGGGTATGATAATGTTGATTTCACTTCTAGAGGCCGAGGAGCTGGAGACGAAGGACGGGGCGAAGAACCGCCTTGCTTAGTTGTTTACCAGTGGACCGACGCAACACCCGCGAAGAGTAGGGCTGGCGATGCTTCTCGCGGTATGCCAATAACCTACTGATGTAGATGAGTGAGCAGCGCCGCGGCCATGTCTCGTGTCCACCAACTGATATGTTTGCTGTCAGGATCACGTACTACGTCCCGACTCTACTGCAAACATGCCTCAAGGTTGGAAGACACGGCAGTCTGAAGTCGTGCGAAGCACTTGAAGTTTCGTCCTGTGGTGACCTTCCCTGTCCTGACTGATGACAGTTCTCATTGTACTAAATACACACCTCTTCGTATATAGAAGCCCACCATGCTGACTCTCCGATCCTCCAAGGATTCTTCTCCGTCACGTCATTCGTCTCCACACTTCCTACCCTCATCGTCATCGACAAAGTAGGCCGAATCGCGCTCTTCATGGTCGGATGCGCTGGCCAGGTAAGGCACTCGTCCTTCGACATGCATATGATATCTTCCTGAAGCTAAGGAAATATGCTGGAAGAGCCTGGATCATCATAGCCTCGCTGATCCCGACGGCTCCAAGGGCTCTACCATCTTAGGGTGTGTTATTGTTCCGTTCATGTTAGTGTTTTTTCTCAGTCTATAGCACAGAGTCATCCAGTGCACACCATATGATGTCAGTTCATTGAAGCCTATTTATCCGTGCATTTATCGACGCCCTTAGCACCTGCTGGCTGGACTTGCTAGCGGGGTATACATTCTACAATAGACAAGACCTAACATCGGTATGAATTCCTCTGTACGAGTCAACGGGCACCCTAAGACAAACATATACACTTCTTGGAGCAGGAATAGAAGTAAAGGTCAGGGTAGCCTACACTACGCTCTAATCCCACTCCTTCCCCACATCACTCGTTCCATCCCTTCATCCGGTGCCTTGTCTTGCGCATCCTTTGAGCTCTTCACGCCAGGTATTGTTTCATTCGAATCCCAGTATTCCTCCCGAAGACGAAACAAAGGACAGCCGGAAAGCACAGGAATCGACAAACTGCCGGTGGTGTTCCTTGAGCGAGTTACAGCTACATGGCGACAACGCATAGCGGTGTCTGGAGGCCAAGGACGGGGTGATCAAGTCCCGCCTGCAAGGGGGTCGGACCCTTACCACCTCCCGCACAACACTGTTGGTATTGGCGTTGCTCCCGTCTGGTGTTTGGTCTGCTGAGTGCTGAAATGCTCGATAGGCCTTCGGTGGAACGGGAGTGAATGCTTGAACGGCATTTGCGCGTGTTGTCGACCGAGGGGATGACTAGATGACTGCTCATCAGAACATCGAGTACAGAAAACATTCACAGTACCCACATTAACATTGAGGACAGGCACAGCTCAAGGAAGCCATCGAAGATGGGACCCTTGAACCGCAGATTGCAGGGAGATGCAGCTGAGGTCACATATAGCGAAGACAAGCTATCGGGATATGATCAGCATGCGTGCTCGCACCAATCGTGGTGATGGATACCGTGAGCGTACCTTTGGCAGTGGAAGTTGACTCCACGAAACTAGAACAGAACAGAATTCGACAGATGATCCCTAAAACCCAGGAAGGAAAGGGAGAAGCGGCGGACATGAGAGGCCTGATTACATCAAGATTAGGAGAATATACGATAGAAATGCTTGGGTTTTCTTATTTTCTTCCTTGATATGCTCGCGGATCCCGGATGTCTTCCTCTATCTCCAAGAAACAGAAATGTTCTCCTTCCCAGAGGCACCCTTCCCCTTTACGTCCTTCTGCACCAGGACCTTAACAGTAGGCTTGTTCGTCCGGACCTCAGCGACCAAAGACTGGACAGTCCCACTTCGCGGACGGGTAACGACAGGCTTCGTAGCCCTAACATCTTTGACAATTACCTTGACTGACCCGCTTCTAGCGCGACCGCGGGCAGAGGTGCTCGCCTGGACACTGCTGGTACTGACGAGGTTGGACTTCGAGCTGGGAGCCATGGGCTTAGTAGGGCGAGTAACAATGGGCTTCACGACGACCATAGGGGCTTTGACATTGCCGCTCCTGTGGCGTGCAGCGGGCTTGACCTCGTTTGCCTGGCGAATGGAGTCAGTCCGGGAACGGGTTACTACAGACTTCGCGACTATCGGTGCTGCTTTGACAGACCCGCTCCTCCCCCGGGGTCGCGTACCGGCGGGCTTGACAGTGCTGCTAGGATGAGGACACGCAGGTTTGACAGGCTTGACCTCTTGAACCTTGCTCGGAGTAGTGATGATCACAGGTGCAGCGACGGGCTCGAGTACTTGGACCCGCTCGTTACTGGGAAGTGTCACGATCACATCGGGTGCCGCAGGCATCACAGTCACCTCAGTATCCAAGATAGGGTTCTCCGGAGGGGCGGGCAGCTGAGTGGGGACGCCGTTCACCTTCTTGACCTTGGGGAGAGGAACGATGGGGTACTGAAGAGGCGGCGACGAGTCATCCTTGAGCAGGTCGGCCAGGTCGACGCTGGAGACGCTCGAAAAGCCGAAGCGTGACCCCAATTTCATAAACGTGTTGCCTATCAGAGTAGCGCTATCGTCTGAGTCCTCGATCCCGGTGTGAGATCGCTCAGTGAAAGCCTCCGTGATATCTTCTTCCTGAGGCTCCTGCCCGTCCTTGCAGCTACAGAGAGAACCAGAGTTGCTGTGGACAGTGACATCTCCTTCAACTGGGGCCAGGTCGGACGCAGAATCCGTTATAGTGTGACTTGAAGGCGCGGCGAAGATAGTCTCGTTACCCTTGTCATAGACCTCCTCGGCAGTCTTGCATCCCATCTCGACGTAGTCGGCGACCACGGGGATCCGGTGGATGCCCCTGCTGAGATTGTAGAATTTCCTTGTGAACGTTCTGCCCTTCTTCCCGTACCCACCAGCCCCGACGTCCTTGTCCCAGTTGACCGGTGCACCTGAGGAGTCGGCCGGCAACGAGAAGCGCTTGTAGTCCGCAAGCATCTTCTCTAACTCATTCCTGATAACTGGAGATCCATCGGGAAGGGGGAGGGTGGCCCTCCTAATCGCCTTCGGCGTCGCAGACGGCCCAGTAATTAATGAGGTGGTGGAGAGCCTAAGGGCCTTGAGGGCACTCTTCCTGGGCGACTGAGCACGATTGGACGCCGCCTTCCTCGCAGCATCGATGACCCACGGGGATACATGATGAACCGGGTCCAGAACGGACAGAGAATCCAGAGAGCTAATGGAGTTCGAAGGAGTGGCAGGCGCTTGATGCTCGACGTGGACAGAGTGTTGCTGCTCCGAAGGTCGGTCGGTCGTCGCGCTGGCCTTCGCCTCCCAAATTTCGCACATCCAATCAAGCCACGACTTCGCCATCAGAAAGGCCGGATTCTGGGGTGGCAGTTCAGACACTTCATTTTCGCCGATTTCAGCAAACCTGGGGAGGCGCCGCCCCCATGTGGGGTAGAGTCGCTTGAGGCCGTCAGTGAAGCTAACCAGCAGTTGCGGTGTTTCACGGCGTTCCCAGTAGATGTTGAGGAAGCGCGGGTTGGGGATGCGTGTCTCGTCAATGGTGAGTACTTCCGGGTTGGGCGGGGTCACTTCCGGGAGAGTGAGTTCGGCGCCTGAAGAGGAGGTAAGCAGAAAGGAAGGGAGGCGGAGAATCGCGTCCTTAGTGGTGGAAGCTGCTTCAGTCAACGACTGTCGCTATGTGAATAGGTTAGTAAGATAATCAGTGGGAGTAAGGACTGCAACAAGTACCCTTCGTCGGAGCCATCCCTGGTATGCGAGCCAGAGTGACTTCCAGAACGCGAGGCTTCGTTGTTGGTTTTCCAACTTTCAATGACGATGTCAGCCACCTGAAGGAGCTATAATCGGTTGAGTGAATCACTTACTACGGTATCGTGTTCGCCGTACAACTTGCCGCGGCAAGTAAAGGAAATGTTAGAAGCACTCGACTCCACGAAGAGCCGAGCGCGGGCAATGAGGGCGGGGCCCCAGTAGTACCCAAGAGCAAAGATACCAAAGATAGACACTATGCTGACGATAAGAAGAATTAGAACAGGAGAGATAAGTCGAAGATCGTTTCCGTCCATGGCACTGTGAGGGTGGCTATCGGGGTATTGTATGACAGCCGGGCGGATGAAAGAGGGCTAGATGGTGGATGAGCTACAAGAACGTTAGAGCAGCAGCAGGCATCATATGCAGTTTGGAATTGCGGTCAGCCATGGCTGTTGACCGGTCGGTCAGCCTGCTTGGTGGATGACTGCAGTCGGGCCAGATCAGCCACAGTTTTTGTGGCTGACTCCTGGCAGGTGTGCCGATACACTCCTGCTGAATATCATCATCGTGGCGAGCACAGAATCAATTTTGCGGCCGTGATTCATTCCACATCCAATTGCGCATATAGACGACTTGTAAGGATGTATTTGTGCGTCGCTCGAGCATGTAGGCCTGACATTGTGGCTGTGCCAGTTCATGCTAAGTTCGACGTCTGACGCGAGCCGACGACGATTGTCATCTCTTCACGGCGAGTAAACAGTCAGTTGAATGGCATACGGCTCCCATGCGACAGTGACAGACATGACAATTTGGTTAAGAGAAATACCACCTTCGTGGCTCGAAAGACATTTTCAATGTTCTCTGGTCGAACGATTGACAATCGAAGGACATTTGTCTTGGACTTCTCAAGGGCGACCATGCCATGATTGAACGGTAACAATTGTCACAACCTTTGACTTCACGTAAGGCATTCGAAGCCTTGTAAAATTTTGTGTCGTCCATCGAGTCGGCCGCCTCGTTCGCGGGTCGTGGATTCATACACACTGATACAACATACGACCACTCACAGCTCTAGCCACACAGACACATTACAAGAACTTCGCCCAGTCGCCGGCATTACGTCTTCTTCTCCTCCGGTTCATCGTCCGCGAACTTCATGCCCTTCGTCTTCTTTATCAAGTCCGGGATATACTCCCGCATCTGTGGCACGCTACTCATCAACAGCCTCCAATTGACGTTCTCAAACCCTGGTATCGCGAAGCTACGCGCGGGCTCATAATCAAATAGGTAGCCTCTGTGGGACCCTCGCTTGTCGCCTGGGCGGTGCTCGTCTGTCAGCATCGTGTTGAGATCGACGTTGCCGTGCACTTCGCCGGACTCCCAGAGGAACTTCTGGGCTAGTGGTAGAAGATGTGGATGATTAGTGTTTGACTAGCAAGGAGCGGGTGAGACAACCGTGGTGCACGTACCTTCTATGGCATCCCTGAACGATTTAAGAAGGTCAACTTGAGACGCGAAATACTGCGTCGAAACCAGTACCCGGTGGTACGGCAGCTTGTAGATGACATCCGAGTCTTCGACCTTTTCCTTCGATACCGCTTCTGCGTTCCATTTGCACTTTGGTCCCTTCCGGATGTCCTCCACGTTCTTGGGGAGGTGGGAGGTAAGCTGGTTGCGGGATGCGATCTCCCCCATGACATCGAAGAATCTGACGTTATCCGAGTCATCGACATAGAGTGCCGTAGTATAGACCTCCTCGCTCAGTCCGGTAACGTTGACGTGGCGATAAGACGGTACAAATTCTCGCAGATGAGACCGAAACTCCTTGTCATCGTCGTCCTCATCTTCATCGTTAACCTTCTCGGACGCCAGGGGATACGAAACAGCGTGACCGCGCTGGATATGTGGGCGTGCAGTCTTGGCTTCGTCCAAGTCGAAATCTTCCTCGGTTAGCTCAGGACCATGAGTGCTCGTGAGCTGAATTTTCCACTCCTTGTTTTCCGTCGTGCTCGAGAGCACGCGCTCCATGCCGCGATTGGGATCCCGACGCTGTTGACGCCGTTCTGGCCGCGTTGTAGAGGCGGATGCGGAGGACGATGCAACGCTGGAAGACATGTGCGTGGTGGGTAAGGGGAAGAAAAGTGGGCCACAGGATGTGTGGCAGAGGAGGTTTATATGGTCTGGTTATAATTAGGGTTCAACCAAAGCGTGGCCCGTGCACGTTGACGCGCTTCTGTAAAGCGGCATAGCCACCTCGAGCCACAATCGATCACAAATCTCGGAATCAATTTCCCACTGGGAAGTGCCGACTTCACGTCGGCATCTTTGCCCCTGCGCTGGCTGCCTGCAACTAAGTGTAGGACCGTTGAGGTTGATGTTACTAGATGCTACTCTGCTGCCCTTAAGTAGATGTATACATGTACTTGTGTCGGGCCTGTTGGCTTTGTGCTGTTGGCTGACGCTCAGTAGTGCCGCAGTGGTGTGGCTGGGATCGGCCAATGCCGGTAGGGTGGAGGTCCCAGAAACCCCTGCAGAGCAGGGGCACTTCAAGTCGGAGAAAAGTTCCCAGCCGCCCGGCATTACAATGCGTTACAATGAATTGCAATAGAGTGTATTCGGTGGAAGAAATACCAGCGAGTTTTAGGATTAGACTAAGCTGTGGTTTGGAATAAGGCAGCAGCTCCGATAGTCTGCCCCGAGAGAGGCGAAATTTCGAGTGCCTATTCCCAGAAAAGGCAATAAATTGATGACATTGTCTCCAAACCGATTCCTTTGCCAGTTCCAGCTCAGAGTTTTGGAATAGCAGTCGACTATTCCAGGAATAAGGATCCGTGTGTTGGATTTCGGGAGTCGGGATCGAGCTTGCGAGCTCGCGACGTGTTGCGCGTGGTCAGGGGGGGACCGCCGCAGGCGGGCCCAACTGATAAGGTGATAAGAAATTCATATATATTTGTTGTATCTACTTGATGTACTGTACGCGATTGCCCTTCGGGCAACCGACCGCCTAGGGCAAACACGCTCGTCTTCCGTTTGCTTGGAATATTTCAACACCGTGGTACTAGTATTTCTTCCACCGAATATGCTCTAATGACCGAAATGTAAATTGGCATTGTGATGGGTCATGAGGAAGACAACCCTTTGTAGGGTGTTGTGATGTAGTTGGCTTTACTGTGCCCCGTGCAAACACATATAAATATATCATATCGAGAAGAATGTCATGTGATTCCGGTCCTACCAGTTGGAGTAACCACTATTATTATAGACAAAGTCAATGCTCTCCTTCAAGTCACAATGCTTCAACAGGGAGTGCCCCTCCTTTGGGAGGGGTTCTGGCACCCTTTAATTGCGTACAGTGTCGGTCACTAAGGATCGGCGCCTCCATAGCGCCTTAATTAGGGCGCCGCAGACCTCCAGAAAAAAATTTGAAACATAAACCTGGCCAAGATATGCGTAATCCTGCAATTTCGATTTTTTGATGGATTACGTAAGCGTTCACTTTTAGGGGTGGAAATTTCAATATTGCGGATTTCGCTGAGGGAATGATCCTGGAGTTGAATGGTGTATAACAAGCATCGAAAGGTGAGGTATCCTCACTCACAGAAGTCCCAGTGCCCCTTCAGGGTGACCTTACTCCAGAAATAGTGCTGTATGAGGGCGTATTATATGATTCTAGATCTCCACAAGTCAGCTCATATGCCCTCAAGCTTACCTGACACTCTGAGTATCAAGAACTGTGTAACGAGAATGGGACCTGACATAGGGGTAGTAGACCCATTATGGGTTAACTGCATTAGGGTTAGGGCGTATTACTAATTACAGCCATCAATGCATATCTAT